CATGTACGCGATATGGTAGGCCCATCGTCCACGCCAAAAAGAATTGATGCGGCGAAAGGCGTTGGCGAGGACATGCCAAACACGCCACACGAAGGGACGGTCATGATAGCAGTAATTCCATTGAAATCTGATTTGACCTATCAGGTTTAATGACATGATCCCATGAAAGACGTAGAGGAATGGGGATGAGACAATATGCGCCGCCACAAGACATGCCCATGCCGTGGGTGACTTTTACGGACAGCGCTTCGACACTATCGGCATCACTGTGAACGCAGCAAAAGCTCCAACGAAGAGCGAGACGAAGACAGTGATAACACGAGCGACAATGTCGTCCAGGGTCCATAAAAGAATGACAACGCCGGCAAGAAACAAGACCATGGCAAGCTCGAGGAGGATTGGGATCGATGAGAGGACCGAGGAGACTTGCCAGTCCTCCCACGCCTCGATCCGCAGCTGACGGACAAGGATGTTCTCGCGTGGAAGCGCAAGCGGAGAGTTCCACTTGAGGTACTCGCGGATCCACTGCTTGGCCAGGATACTGAACAGTGCAGCTGCGAGGCCGAAGATGAGACTGAGGAAGAACAGGGCGTTGATCCAGCGAGAAGCGGTAGAAGGGGAGAATGGAGTGGTGAGAGTGTCAGAGAATGTGGTGAGGGTCTGGTTGAGTGTATCGGTGACAACGGTCCCAGCGGTGTGCAGCTGCGTAGCCAGACTGATGGCGAGGAGTTGGTTGGTCGTATCTGTGCTGTCGGCTTGGAGCATGGGATAGGTCTCGACAAGGAATGCGGTGAGGATGGCCGAGAACAGACCGGCCTGTCCGGTCAAGCAAGGTAGGTCAGCCCACAACGCACGCAGCAACGACACCACTCACAAATACGAGTAGAGTATCGATGTCGTCAGCATAGTCTTCCATCTCTCCGATGTCATTTGTCATGAGGTGGTCCTCGATCCCTGCCCAGCCAGAGAGAGTCTCACCGGGCGACTTCTGAGATTTAGAGATCAGCGAGCATTGGTGAGACAAGACGTGTAGCCTGCGTACCGAGTTTGCTGGATCTCTCGACCGATTCATTCCTCGTCGTATCCCGAATCGTTTAGACGATGTCGGCATCGATATCAGCTGCAAACAGAGAACACGTGGGGGCGTGAAGCAATGTGAGGCGATGGATCCAATGAGCACAAGTAATAATCAGCAAAAGAGAGTTGCCGTAGATCATTGATCTCTGCTCCCATCACTGATGCATCTGACCCCGACCTCAGCGTAGCAGATACTTGGAGTAACATTCATCTTGCAAGAGGTAAGTTGAGAAAGCATGAACCTAATCCCTTTCTTACTCTTGCCAGAAAATATAATACACAGATGACGATGAACGCGTACATTGCAAGAGTATACCAGCGCCAGCCTACGCGTGCGTGGGGGCACAGCTCCACTCCCAAAATCCTTGCCGCATTCAAGCGTCTGAGCCGCCCATGGCGCAGTGAGTCGCAGACAGATGGCTGAGGAGCTTGGCGTAGATGGGGACGCCATCTGCGTGTGGCGCCGTTGGGTCGGCGGCGGCGCATTGTCTGAGGGTAAAGGTGACATGCCTTTGCGCAGAGGGCCCAAACGCTCTGACAGCTTGACTCGTTCATTCTACATGCGGCATACCACGCCCTTAGAGGCAGGTACGCACTCGTTTTCGCGATCTATGCCGAGTTCGCGGCAGCCTTCTGGAGGCACGGCGTCGGTGGTGGCAGCGAAGCTCTTTTCCGCCCATTCCACCATCGGCTACTATGATGCATCCGATGCTTTCCCGGCGATGTCTATTTCGAACTGTCGTGCGGTGGCGGCGGCGCGGGTGCGGGCAGCTACTAGTACGCGTACGAGTGCCGATGCCAGCCAGCGCCTCGAGAGATCTGCTTACATAAGCAGCAAACGCGCATTTACGCGCTTAGGATTCAGGCGCCGGACAGTTTAGCAGAGACCCCCGCGACATCTTCAAGTACGCTCGCTACAAGAGCATTCATTAGCTTGTTCACGGAGCCGGCACAGATATAGTCGGTGCATTCTCCCTTAGCAGTACAGTCCAGTTACATAAATTCATCTCCGCAAAACCGGTATTTAGATATCCAGCTCCTTCATTCCTGGCTAATGCGCACGCTGTTGCATTCCTAGACCTTGGCCCACGTCTTCGAGCCGAGTTGCCGGTGTCGACCCTTGTATGCCTCAAGTTCAAACACAATATGATATCTGCCACCCATCACAGACACGAACGTCTTCGATTTATTCTTTACGGTCCCGCAAGGCGCACAGATACCAGATTACACCGTCTTCATCGATGCTGCCACTGGACTTGGGCACTCATTACACAGCTGCTACAAGTTCTTGCGCGACGCAACGACGGCGCTCAGTGCGCCGCCGGCCTGCGGCGGTCTGGGGCGAGGGGGGCGACATCGTCGGCATATTCAGCCATAACTGCGTGGTGTGTGGGCTTTCAGGTTCAGCGGGTGCATTGAACACTGTGCTTAATTTAACCACAGAATCATACCACGCTCGTACACGCGCTCCTTGCCATAACACTCCCTTCGTTGACACGTCGGTGTATACCACGGTGTACGAGCTCCCACGCCTCCTTCGCACGACAAAGCTTAGTCATCTGTTCGCACGGCCTGCTCTGCTTCCGACTGCACTTGCAGCGGCGAGGAAATCTGACCCTCCTGGGACGCAGATTTACATCCTAGAAGGTACCAGCGGTAATAGATGCCTGAGTTTACAAGGCCTTGTCAAACGCACCCGAAAGGGCTCTCTCTCTCTCTCTCTCGAGAGAGAGAGAGAGCCTGTCTGTCCTACAATGGTGAATGCGCTGGTATACCTCGTGTTCTCGAGACGGGGTAGTGGCTCGTCAAGAGGTAGGTGGATATAATCGTCTCCGCTGATTCTGCTGAAAATCCCTCGCCTAGCTGTCATGATTTGGCGTGGGAACATCCGGAAGATGGTGCTTTCGCAAGGTATATGGAGAGAAAAAGAGGTAAAGCACCTCCAGGTGCACCTGGATGTCTTGCTCGCCGCGCGTCAGATGACCCTTTCCCTAGCTGGCTCTGCTCAAAGAACCTCTCCTTGCCCTGTGTTTCCGGACAACGTACTGCGCCTACCCACTGAACGTCGTCATATTTCGCATCATCAATATCGATCCTATGACTTGGATCGTCGTGGAGAAATAGCACGCCAATGCAGCCATGAAAGCAATCCCCACGTAAGATATCCGTTCGTCATCTGCCCGAATCGTTCGTTCATTCTCTCGTTTCAATGAAGGTACCGCATCAATGACTGATCTCTGCCCCCATCACTGATGCATCTGGTCCCGACCTCAGCGTAGTAGGTACTTGGAGTAATATTCATCTTGCAGGAGGTAAGTTGAGAGAGCATGAACCGAATCCCTTTCTTACTTTTGCCAGAAAGGATAATATACAGATGACGATGAATGAGTACAATGCAAGAGTAAACCAGCGCCAGCCTACGCGTGCGCGGAGGCACAGCTCTCCTCCCAAAATCTTTGCTGCATCCAAGTTTCTGAGCCACACATGACACAGTGCGCCTGCACCTTCCGGTTCCGCGATATGGACATCGCAACCGGCTCCTAAATGTCTCTTGTACGACAGCGTGAAGACGACTTTGCCTGCCAGCGACACGCCGAACTACGCGTCCGTCGCTGCCAGCCGCGCGTCCAGCAGCCCGAACTGCTGCACTATCGTCGGTGGGTCCTGACACAGGTTGGGCAACGCGCGCGCGCCGACACCGAGGTTGACGGAGCCAGGGATGTGGGACGTGGCGAAATCGGTAGCGTCGCGAGGTCGAGGGCGACCATGCGGGACGGCTCGACTTGGGGCGTGTTCGCCATTCCGGAGGATGTGGTGGAGAGCGTAGGCGGAAGTATTACAGTCTTTCTTTGCAGGAGATCGTGAACGATACGTGGAGTGAATTCCCAGTCGACATTGTATCTATGGAAAACCATCAGCAAATATGGATGAAGAGTAGGTATGTACAGCGACGCATGGGTACGGATCAACGCTAAGGAGAAGCTCGTTTCTGAGTGGAATAAGTGCTCTGGGCCGAGCTTCGTGTAGTACTCGCTGATGTACTGGAACGGTTTGTCGTAGTAGATAAAGACACCTACGACCACAGGTTTGTCTATGCATCTCATGAACCAGACAGGCACATGCAAGAGATCTTGCCTGTACCCTCGCTCCTCAACTGGTCCAGCTCGCCTTTCTCCTTGAGCTTCCCGAGATACTTTAGCGAACCCAAGAGCGCCAAACTGGAGCCAGGCCCGACCAGCAGGCCGTTACGGCGGAGTTCCAAGCTCTTCTCGAGCGACTGAGGGATGCGATCTTCTCGTCCGCGTTCACGGACTCTTGCCGGGGGAACTTGACGGGGGAGAAAGGACTGTAGGATCGCGGGCCTGGTACGCGGTCGTCTGGAGCTGTGCAGACACTAGAGGACGCACCAATAAGGCAAGCAGGGGGAAGAGGCACACCGTAGCTTACCCAACTCGTAGACAGGAAGTTTTAACACTCTTGAGATACAGTCCTATTCCTGTCATGGTGCCAGAGGTGCCGATAGATGCTGCGAAAACCTTGGTATCGAGAAGCTGCTTGTAGATTTGGGGACCAGTCCAGCGCATATGCGCCTCGTAATTCTGTCACATGGATAGAAGAATAAGTAAAGGCTCAGTGACAGCGACACTTACTTCGGGGTTAAAATGTTGGCCGCCGTTCGTGGCCGGAACGGAAACGGCGGCGTCAGAAGTGGCTGCCGCGAAGAGCGTGAGGTAGACTGTTGAGAAAACAGCTGCGCTGCTCGGAGACGAGGAACTCGGCCCAAGTTGAGGCAAGGAGGTCATTCCAGCTCCGGTCTTATAGCCATGTGTGTCTTTCTGCTCTCGTCACGCTTTCGCCACCAAACTACCAGCTGGAGTGGTCGATTTTGCACTAGATGTACCTTACCTAAAAAGGTAGCAGGAGCTGGTCATTCATCACGTGCTTGCATGCCAAGCGCCAAATGCTCGGCGATCTCGGCCTCGACGCGACTTCGTGGCGGACGCAGCCAGGCATTCTCGTAGTGCTGCGACGCGTGCAGCATACATTTTAGCATCTTTCTTTCCTCTAATCTCTATTAAAAGCTCACTGATATGCTGCTCATTGCGCTGCTTAGGTCTGGGACTGCAACCGGTGATAGCGATGAGTCCCTCGACGCACTTGATTTGATGCCCATCCAGCGAAAGTCACCGACGTCATGGCATGTCAAGCTCTCAAGACCCATACATAAGACCCTCGCGTTCAACGTACATCCTTCAGCTTTCCTTCCCGCAATATTTCCTCACGCCATCCAGTAAGCCATGCAGTCTGGGCTCGAGTTCAAGGGTTATGCCCTCGTTGGTGCGTCCGTATCGTCCGAAACCACCACATAACCCACCCAACATGTATACCAGACCCAGAGAACTTTACCGAACTCCAGGTAAAGACATTCAAGCCCAAGCCATTCGAGGACGACGATATCGAGATCGTCATTACCCACTGCGGCGTTTGCGGCTCCGACGTCCATACGCTGAAGCAAGGATGGGGCGAGAGCAAACTGCCTCTCGTCGTCGGCCACGAAATTGTCGGCAAAGCAGTTCGTGTCGGCAAGAACGTCAAGGACATCAAGTCCGGCGATCGAGTCGGGGTGGGCGCACAGATCTGGAGCTGCATGCAGTGCAGACAGTGCAAGGACGGATACGAGAACTACTGCCCCAAGCAGGTCGACACTTACGTATGTATGCGCATATACTGACTCCCCGCTCGACGGTACTGACATCGCGGTAAATGGCACGCGGTAGAATGCCGAGTACCCCGACGGCACTGTTTCTCAGGGCGGCTACTCGACTGCCATCCGCGCCCATCAGCAGTTCGTTTTCCCCATCCCCGATGCCATTGAATCCAAGTACGCTGCCTCCATGCTCTGTGGAGGCCTTACCGTCTTTTCTCCTCTCCGCACGAACGGCGCAGGGCCGGGCAAGAAAGTTGGCATCATCGGCATCGGTGGACTCGGGCACTTCGCCATACTGTTCGCCAAGGGGCTGGGCGCAGAGGTGTACGCGTTCACCCACACCAAAGACAAGATGCAAGACGCTAAAGAACTCGGAGCCGACCACGTCATCGACACCACTCAGAAAGTACGTTTCAGTTAAGAGTTCTGTCAGCTCCCTGGCTGACCGACAGCTGGCAGGATTTCGCCCAGTCCTTGCAAGGAAAGCTCGACCTCATCGTCACCACGATGGACGCGACCCCGCAGCTTCCCATCAAAGACTTCCTCGGCATGCTCTACGTTCACGGTCGACTTGTCAACGTCGGCATCCCTGACATGGACAAGCCGCTGCCCACACTTCACGCGTTCGACCTCGTGCCCAACGGCGCATACATCGGCGGTTCGCACGTCGGGTCGAAGAAGGAGTGTCTGGAGATGCTGAAGCTCGCCGCGGAGAAGGGCATCAAGCCTTGGATCCAGGAGATGCCCATGAAGGATGCGAAGGCGGCTATCGAAGCCGTCGGCAACAACACCGTCAGATACCGCTGTGTCTTAACCCAGGACCTGAACTAGGGTCACCAGTCGTCGTTCGCGTATTCTGTCAAAGAGAACGTTGTATTCCCCTACTTGTACAGATAGACAGACCATTTAATCGACATTTGTTATCGCGGTAGCTATTCAGTAAGCATTGTCGGCGATACCGAACAAGACGCGCTGCAAAATTAAAGGTCCGGCATCGACGCGCAACTGCGCCCTGAGAAGCTCGATGTCCAGCGCGTGTTGGTTGACCGACAGTAGCGCCGCCGCGAACCCTGTAGCCTTGGTGTGGTCGTCGAGGGGGACCACGGAGTTGTAAACCTCCTTGAGCGACTCGACAGTGCGGCCGACGACACCTGCGGCGCCTTCTCGTCGTTGATGAGGACCTTCAGGGACGTGCGCGTCTCCTCGATCCCACTGAGCGCGTCCTCGGCGTCCCGCTTGAAGGTTTGCAGCTTGAACATGTTGTTGTCGAGGCGCAAAATCTGGCTCTTGAAGCTTGAAGTCCTATGTGCGCTTCTCGGACTCGGCGAGTTGCTCCTGGGCGCTCCGCAAGGCGATGTAGCGCGCGACTTTCAGCGTCTGTATCGGAAGCCTTTGTGCGGGTGAAGCGCAAGGGAAAACAAAAAAAGGAATTGGACGTACCCTGTCGAAGAGCGAGCTCTGACTGATCCTGGCGTCGACCTCTTCGTCGTCGTGGTAGCTGGGCAAACTTGCCGCGGTCCTTGATGTTGTTGCGGTCGAAGGCGACCTGCCACAAGCGGCCGACCGCAAAGACAGCGTCCACATGGAAGGCGGCGAGCACAGGGAAGACGCACCGCGCTGGAGGCGCGGCGTCCGAGGGACGTCAAGCACGAGGAAGCCAATGATGACCGCACCAGCGATTGCGACCGCACCCTCAAGTGAAGCATTGCGCACACGAGGTGGGCCGTCCAGTACTTTTACAGGTACGCAGGAGGATTGCTGATGTCAGCCAAGAAAGTAGAGAGTTTCATCCGCAGCTTGAACTCAGATAGTGATAGCACGAGTCTGTGACAATGGCGGACCTAGTGGGACAGTTTGATTAGGGAGCCGCGTCGCTTGAGGAGAGCACGTGGCGGGGCCTGCTCTGAGCCCATGTATCCGAGAATAGCGTCGAGTGTTTTGGTACGCCGGGGCATGAACGAATACTGCGGCTCGGTGATACCGACCAAGGGTTGGGCAAGGCTGGGTCGAGGCGGTGCCGAGCGCATGCTCGTTGTAACCGCCCTGTACTGACATTCGCCGAGATGAATCAAGAGGCAACGGGATGTTGAGGAGTGTGGTGAGCATCGCGAAAACCCGTGCAGTCGCTCGATAAGACGTTCGCGTTGACCGAGCACAAGGTCTCGGTAGCTTGCCAGCCGCGAGGCGGTCACGAAACAACTTGCACTACCGGGCAGGCCGGGATCGTTCAGTTTCCGTCATATGTGCAACAACGGGCATCGCTTTTGGACGATATCAGTAACGTGGCAGATATGTGCACGCGCAGTGCACGCACCTTGGCCCCCTCACCAAGAATTCGTCTTTCTCAATGTATCGACTTCAATAACTTCTCTCTGTCCGTTCACAGTTGGGACACTCGATCCACCCATTATCTTCGCAGATGGTAACATGAGGGACAAATACATGGGAGTTGAGGTACACAAGAGCACGCGCGTGTGCTCCGCACACTTCTGGGTCTACGACGAAACAAGTCTGAGCTTCACGGACTCGCGTGCTGAGGGATAAACGCACGTATTTGATACACAGCTATGTCTCTATGCCCCGCGTGGATTCCTCTGCACCTGAGGCGATCATGGATTTTCGACTGCGTGTTCGAGTGTCTTTTGACCCGCTCCGACAGATGACGTGGTCCTGCCTGAAGGCAACAACGCACTTCGCAGTATCCCGGCCAGCCTTTCCGAGGGCTTTCGACAGCAAAATTCTGTGGGAACCATAATCACAGTGGCGACCAAGACCAGGCGGCCGTCAAAGCGAGAGATGGGAAGCCGGCGCGACGCGTAAGAGTAGAGCCTGCAGACACAAGAACGGCAGAGACCCAAAAAGAGAGCGATCACAATGGACAAATACTGGTGTTGAGTCATTATCAGTCTGTGCGACGGTGCAAGTCAACACTTGGACGATGGCGGTGGTGGTGGTTGAGATCTTGAGAAAGGCCTGCGCCTACGTGCTTTCCGCGCGGGTGCCCTCCGTACGCTTCCATCTGCACGCGGTATTGGCCAGACTCTGCTCGACCGAGCACCTCGGTGATCAACCGCGTTAAGACTTGGTGCCAATTGCATAAATACTCTGGAGATGCGGCGCGTCAGACGGCGGCAAGTCTGCATCTGCTCTCGGAGGAATGAGGCGCAATATAGTGGCAGTAGGCTAGTGAGACGGAGACGAGCGAGGCCGAATCTCGGTGCCTCCATGGCACTTGGTAAATCCACCTCGAAATTGCCTGTGTCATACCTCATCACTTGCCTAAAATCACTTGACGAACTCGAGATGATCATTGGGGGAGTCAGCGACTCGGAGCCAGATGGTCGAATCCTCAGCTGAGTTGCAGTTCGACAATGTTTGCTCATAGGTGGCGCATTCTGTGATTCGTCCGGACAGTCTCTCATCCCATGTTACCGTGGGTTTTCCTCTCTAAGCCTTTCTACGCCGTTTCTTCGATAGATGATCTTTCTGTGTCATATTGCCCAACATCTGCCTTCAGAGAAGGGATGGCTTATACGTTCACCTCATGTGGCGAATCTTCCATGACCATACAGTAGTATCTGATCAGATCAATAATCAGATTGCACTAATATTGGACTGAGATGCCCCATCGTACCTGGTGCCCTACTATCACGTTGAACGGCGGACAACTATCAAATGAGGGCTGGTGTGTACACTTCTTGTTCTCAGCCGTCCCCAAAGGATGTGATGTATATAATTCGTAGGCAAGGGTACCGTTGGGTCTGTACCGACCAACTCGACACACTACAGGCAACAAGGCTCAGTCGAACGAGAACTTGCAGCAGCAGGCTCAGGTGCAGTACGGATCCTCTCTTCCTGGAATACACATGGAGGTATGATAGAGAAGCTCACAGAAGATAAAAGAGCGTCCATAGAGTATCGTAGGAAACCAGTGGCCGAGATGGTGGCCATCTGGTCTGTGCCAACTGAATCCAGTGCAGGAGTGCCCGATAGCCCCAGGAGTAGCCTGCATACCGGACACCGTATCAGAGTTCACGCGCACGCCCGATTTTTGGATCTAGGAGGTCCTCCATGAAGGACGCGAGGCCATCTGCAACAACGCCATCAGATACTGCTGTGTCTTAATCCAAGACCTGAACTAGGGCCACTAGTCGTCGTTCGTGTAATTCGCTAAAGGGACCGTTGTATTCCCCTACTTGTACAGACAGACAGACTATTTAATCAAATTTTAAAGAAGCTAAATCGCGGCAGCTATTCAGTAAGCGCTGTTGGCGATATCGGACAAGACGCGCTGCAAAGGTCCCGCGTCGACGCGCAGCTGCGCCCTGAGCAGCTCGACGTCCAACGCGTGCTGGATGACAGACAGCAGCGCCGCCGCGAACCCTCTCGCCTTGGTGTGGTCATCGAGGGGGATCGTGGAGTTGTAGATCTCCTTGAGCGACTCGGACAGCGCGGCCGACGACACCTGCGACGCCTTCTCGTCGTCGATGAGGGTCTTCAGGGACGAACGTGTCTCCTCGATTCCCCTGAGCGCGCCCTCGGCGTCCCGCTTGAAGGTCTGCAGCTTGAACTTGTCGCCTTCGAGGCGAGAGATCTGGCTCTTGAAGTCCTGGGTGCGCTTCTCGGACTCGACGAGTTGCTCTTGGGCGCTCCGGAGGAGGGCGTTGTAGCGCGCGACGTTCAGCCCGCCCGCCTCGGAGGCCTGTGTGCGCGGCAGTAAGTGCGCGAAGCGCAAGGAAAAGCAGAGAAAGGAGGTGGACGGACCCTGTCGAAGAGCGAGCGTTGCTTCTGCTCCTTGGCCCTGGCGTCGGCCTCTTCGTCCTCGCTCAACGCGATGCTCGTCCTGGGGGACGGTTGAGCACACACATGGGGTGCGCACAACACACAGGCTACGGCTCACCTCAGCGACTCCATCGTGGACTCGATATCCCGAATCGTCGTGACGATCTGGGCGAAGAAGATCTGCAGCGCGGTGGTGTCGCGCTGGACGCGCGACCACGCGGCGTCGACTTCCCCAGAGAGCTGCTCGACTAGCACGTCAGCATACACACCCACACGCGCGACCCACAGGCCCTTCCGCAAAACGCACCTTGGCGCCCTCGGCGTGTATGAGCGTGTACTCCTCGAACAGCTTCTTGAGCGCGAACTCGACCTCGTCCGCGCTCGTCTTCGCGATGCCCGTCTGCGCGCGCAGGTTCGAGCGCCGGTCCGCGTCCCCGCCGAGCCGCGCCCGCCGGTGCGCGCTCTCGAGGTCGAACAGGTACTCGATCGACTGCGCCGTCGCAACGACGCCGTCCATGACGCGCTGCGCCTGCTCCCCGAGCGCCCCCGCCGCCCGCCGCCGCGCCCGGTACGTGTCCGCACGCGTGCGCAGCTGCCCGAAGTACGACGCGGACTCCTGCACACCCGCAGCGAGCGCCTGTGCGCGCCGCATGAGCTCTTCGAGCCGCCGGGCGTCGATGCCGCGGATGCGCGTCGTCCAGATGGGCTGCGTAAGGAGATTATAAGGAGATAGCATGTGAGAGAGCGGCGCAGGTACGCACCGCGAGCCCGCGAAGCACGGTGTCGGCGGTGCCGTAGAACCCGCCGAGCGCGTGCCCGCCGAAGGACCAGGTCGTGACAGTCGTCGGGAGCCCCTGGGTGCCGTACCACGGGGACTGCTGGCCTGCGCATGCGATCAGGGGGGCCGCACTCAGGGATGATGTACAAGAAACGCACCTTTAGATGTCGTGAAGCTGAGCCCGAGCAGCCGATCGTTTTCCTCGATGTACGAGATCGTCGTGATGTCTTCCGTGTCATTCAGGTCGAAGGTGTACACGGTACCGTTGCCGCTGCCGCGCCAGCCGGTGACAGTCTGGTCGGTGAACTCAAGCGCGAGGCCGACGACGACGCCCGAGTTCACGCAGACCTTCGCCGAAGTGATGGCTTTCCTGTCCGTGTATTCGTCCTCGTCTGAACAAAGTATTGAGTAAGATGGGCTCTGGCGCCAGAGCGTGTGGCTGGACTTTACCTGAGAAGTAGTCGCCGACGAAAGAACCGACGACGTTGCCCGTGGAGCGGACGCTGGCGATGTCTTGAGGGGCGGACCACTTGGACTCGAGCGTGGACCAAACGCTCTGGTACAGTTTCTGCGACACCAATATCAGAAGCTGGACTCAGCTCCAGCGCTCTCGACGCACCTGATCCTGGCCTGCCCAGATGACAAACAGGCAGAAGCCGGGAACAGGGTACGAATCACGGACAAACGCAATTATGTCTGCGTTGGGGAGCGCAGCAGTCTTGAAAGTGCCTCTGGAAGGTGGTCAGTCATCGAAGCTGATAAAAGAAAAGATGCCCACTGTGACCACGTCAGATAGGTGTACGCCCACTCCACGATATTGTTGAACTTGTCTTGAATGTAGAGCCTGAGACACCACGTTATACCGCCATCGCCCATGTGACACAGAACAATACTAACCGGATCTGAGCACCTTCGTTCCATGAAACTGCGGTGATGTCGCCGATACAGTAATCAAAGCTGAATGGGAATCCAGTGTCCAAGAGTTGGCTGCAATCCCAGCAGTGAGCAAGGGCATGGTACCAGATGACGGCCGGACATACAATACACCACCGAAGACGCCGCGATATTCACGGATGCGGTATTGATCATCCTGGAAGTAAAGCCGGATCTCCTTCAGGTCTAATGCAAGTTAGTCTCCCGCGTACAGAATATGCGTCGCCAACCGTACCGTTCCATGCCGTGGCCCCAATACCGCATCCTTTGGGACCTTTGCCGATGCTGACGCTGGTAGGCTCCCACTGCCCATGCCGCGCCGTACTTTAGATGCAAATGAGAGAGCGCTTGAGACAGTCAAGACTGCTGCACGTACCGTGAGCGAATGAAACCCTCGGCGTCCTGGAAGAACAGGACGACCCGGCTACCGTCACTGGAGTGCACGGCGGCGATGTTGGTGCCCAGGAGCGTGTTCTCTTCAACGTAGTTGGTGAGATCCCAGCCTGTCGCTTTTGAGAAGCGGCGTTCGCGGATGTTGCCGTTCTCGTCCTGGCAGAAGACCGACAGCGACGAGTCGGCCCACTGAGCGGCCATGTAAGCACCGGCCCAAGAATTATCGACGAGGGAACGTACGCCGACAGAGCAAAGCGAACTTTCAGGGTTCGATTGGAAGGCGGTTTCCCCGCTAGACCAGCCTTGCGAGTGGTTCACGACAGCTGTTGCGATGTCAGCGTGTCTCCATCTCCAGGCAAGGCGCATCAACGTACCAAAATCGCCCCTCCTCATCGCATCGGCGAGCTGCTGCTTGGTGGTGGCGTTGACAACCTCGCGTACGAAGCCCTCGGTAGTCTTGGTGTGAACATAAATGCCGTCGCCGTTAACAGCGGCACTCAAAGTCGTACTCCGCTATTTCACAGGTCAGTGCCAGCAGGCTCGCACATTTGTCGACAATGCTCACGAGTGGGAGGGGCATTTTCAGGTGATGTAGTGTTTGGAGGACACGTAGGTGCGACTTTCTATGTTGAAAGTGCTGCAGAAGCTCAGCGAGGAGCTACAGCATTTATACAAACCACTCAAAGCATGTATATACACATCAGAGATTATCGAGAGAACGTCACTCCAATATTTCCTGTCGTAATCGATGTGTACGCAAAGTGTTCGTCCGACAATCTGCTCTGCAGACGCAGAGGTAGAGAGACGCTTCGATGCTCAGCGTTGCCTACTGGAGGATACGGTTTAATAGATTGATCTGATTTCATCGCCTTCGCTGACCGCAACGCAGATATGACCTACACGTGCTGACCGCGAGAAGATGAGATTGTAGTGCCAAGGAGAAGCTCGGCATCGTACTCTATCACGACTCGGCCCAATCGGATATGTTCTCTGCTAAGTGGCACTGGCATGGTAGTGGATATTTCGATATGGTTTTGCTGAACGCCGGTGCGGAGTGGGCGCTCGCCTTCCGGCCCTCTCCGTGTATCACGTGATATTTCGGAGCGACATCTACGGCTTCCTTTGTGGCGTTCGGCAAGGTGTGGCTGGCCTGTGAGCCGCTGGCCACATGTTGCGGACGCGGGTCATTGTGCATATGGACCCTAGGAAGGCGTGTCCTACGCGTGCCAGCGACGATGGCTCTAACTGGCAGACGGTCCTCCACATGTACGCATCCAGAAGAGGCGTTGCTGAACTTCTCAGGGGCAATCGATGAGTTTGAAAGGCGGTTCCGCGATGCGAGCTGCATCTCCGCCGAAGCAGAACATCACCACACACCCAGCGAAGACTTTACGCTTTCACTCCAAGGTCAGGCGCACCACATTAAGGATATCGATCTCGCCTTTCACAGGACAACTGAAATGCAGATAGAGTTGGATTCTGCCCCTGAAGGCACATTCTGCGATGGAGATATCATCACAGGCCGATTGTATCGCGTCTCTTACGCAGCCGCGCACAGCCTTTTGAAAAATATTAAGCCAGAGAGACCCACTATTGGTAATATGTCAGATACCGCACGTCGAACTCTCCACAGCGAGCATGCCACTCACTTGGCCCAGTCTCTCGCGCGAATCCCCCAAAAGCAATCACATCAGAAGCATAGAATGGCGCCCCATAGTTGGTGCTTCCTTCGTTTCCGTACGGCTGCCAGCTGTGTGAGTGGAAACTCGAAAACAGAAACGAAGCATTCACGCCGGCCACCCGCGTGGTCGCAGTGCTCTTGTCAAAGATGACGAAGCCGATGTTGTTCACCATCGCCCTGCCGTAATTGTCTTGATATCCAGCGCGGCCAAACACCCCGACGAGAGATTCAGACGCTGTCGCTGAGGCATCAGCGACACGACACAGACAGAGTGACACATGAACATACAGGAGAAATAAACTATCGCCTTTGGATTGGGCCATTCCGATCCATGAGGGATAGAGGCAGTACCTCCGCCTGCGAGATTATACGTGACTCTAATACCATCGACCTGATGGCAGCGTCAATAGATGTCCATCATGCGCGACAAAGCGAATGGCTCCTGGAATACTCACTATCCAAGACGCGGAGACAGCTATGGATTTGATTGGATTCTCTACATGGAGAGGATCATGTCCTGGGGCTTCGTCAAGTCGAGGTCAGAAAAATATCTCGCTACCAGCATGACTCACTGTTAGTCACAGCGAGCAGCCCTGCACACAAATCAGTCTCTCGTGACAATACCTGAGTGGCTGGGAGTGCTAGCTCACCGTCCTGTCTGAGATATAGGACGTCGCTGAAGAATGTACCATCGGTGCCACCGACGACGTTGGACTCGGTGTAAGCTTGCATCCTGCTTTGGGAGGAGAACAAATGCTTGTAAATGCTGTTGTATAAGAGTAGAGCCGTGTGATGTTTCATAGCTCAAGACCCCAGATTCTATTACTCGGCAAGTGCCCCTGCATGCATACTCCGCGTGGGCTCACTATGCCCCTCTTCCAGATTGCGCGGAACCTTCTCCCTGAACCTAGATCAGCAAAGGATCAATTTGTCGTGCTCGCCACCGTCTGTGGCAAGCATATCATCCGCTGCTCGGCATTGTCTGGCGTGAGCTTGAAAGTGAAGCGAAATTTTCGCCACCTCTTCACGCGATCAGCCTCAATCAACACTCTCATAAGAGAATTTGACGGTGTCGGCTCACACGGAAGATGCGGCGCGGGCAGAGGGAAGCACATACAGGGCTACGCCCAGCTATTTTTCGCGAATCGTGGGCAAGATGCCGTTATTTGCAGGATGCCGTCGGATTACGGCGCCGCTGGCTTCATAGTCATGTCAGAGGTCTCATCCCAAGGCGGCTGTGCTCTCGGAGTTTCCGGCTCTCACTTGTCGTAATTAAAATGTGGGAATGCTCGCCGCGTCCGTGAGAAAGCTATGCGTGATCGTTTGATGCGGATGCCACCAAAAATAGATATTTTGATGCGCTTCGCACGTGACTTGCCGCAAAACCTCGCCAAACTAACTTCTCGCGAGTCTAACGCGGCCTCTTGACGGGCCCACACCGTGTCAACTATCTCGGGCTCCCCGTAATCTGGTTGAGCATACCCATTGTTAGCCGATATTCTGAGTGACGCGCTCCTTCCCGCACTTACAAAGCTTTCTACAGAGCCGGTAAGCTCTGGTCTATGCAATACTGTGCCGGCCCACGCTGTGCCGAATGCCGATGGGGCACTGCGATGCATAAATGTAAGAGCAGGCTGCCTCCTTTGTCGCATAACAGCTCACATGGACGCTTCGTTGTACAAGGACACCGTCACTTCCCGTGGGTTGACGTACCGCTACTACTTCTCCCCCGCCCAGCCCTCGAAGCCGACCCTGCTGTTCTGTCATGGCTTTCCATCCACGTCTCATGACTGGCGCCACATATGTCTCGTTCTGAAGGATAAGGGCTACGGTGTGCTCGTCCTCGACATGCTCGGTTATGGCAAGACAGACAAGCCTACGGATCCAGCGGCGTACGTCCCGAGCCTGATCTCCAGGGACATCGTCGACGTCTTGGATGTCGAGAAACTCGCCAAGGTTATTGCTATTGGCCACGACTGGTGAGCATTCACTTCCTCGGTTCTCCGCGCTGCACGTTACATAGGTGCTGAACCGCCATGACAGGGGCTCCAAGGTCGTCTCGCGCCTCGCAAACTACTATCCTGAGCGATTCCTCGCTTATGCCTTCTTCGCCGTTCCCTTCGTGCAGATCAGACCCCCAATGGACATGCAAGTTCTCCTAGACGCGTCGAAGCAGAAGTACGGGTACGAGCTGTTCGGCTACTGGCTCTTCCTGAGCGAGCCAGACGCGAACGACGTCCTCCAAGCGCACGTAAGTGCGCACACCTATGCTCGCGCTCCAAGCCGCTGACACGCCTCCCAGATCGGCTCGTTCATCAGCATCTTCTTCCCGCACGATCCCGCACTCTTCAGGACGCACCTAGCCCCGACGGGCGCGCTCAAGCAGAGCCTGCTCGACGACTTCGCCGCGCCGCGGCCGCCGTACCTGTCTGAGGCGGACGCGAAACGCTTCGTGGAGACATTCAGGCGCAACGGCTTCGCGGCTCCGACGTGCTGGTACAAGGTCATGACGACCGCGCTCTCTGCCGACGACGACCAGCGTACGTCTTCGCTCTTCCATGACAGGCCATCCTCGCACCTAACGCGCTGCCATTATCGCAGAAATCTCGCCAGAGCGCCGGTTTCCGCCGGCGAGCGCGCCCATCTTCTATGGCGCGGCGAAGCACGACTACGTCTGCCTTCCCGAGAACGGCTATGCGGCCTTTGGGGCGAAGGAGTTCGGCGGGCACAGCGTGACGACGAGAGAGTACGACGCGGACCACTGGCTCATTCTCTCCAGGGCCGACGAGATCGTCCGCGATCTCGAGACGTGGATTGAAGGCACCGTGCTCGCAAAGGCCTGAGTCTTGAGCCAGTTAGCGATTCAGGTCTATGCAAAATATGTGCGGCAATTGGTGTAATTTATGCAGATGTCATGAAGTGTATGTGATCCGGCGTAAGTGCGAGAAAGCTCGTACTGTGATCCATGATGACTCGGGCAGTCAGACTAATTTACAATCAGTAGATCAGAGGCGAGCTAGAGCACTCATGGAGATACCATATTATATAATCTGTACCTAAATCTCTGGTCCAAGGTGCATGCATAGCTTCTCAACGCGCTGCCTAATTAAATAAAGCGTTAACGTTGCAATATTAATACTGAGGCTGCCGGCGCTCAGCGCTCAGCGCTTCAGCATTCAAGCACGTGACGATGATGAATTTATCATGACACATCTACTTCTCGGCCTCCTCTGTCCGCTCCGTGGACTGGCTCAAGCTCGAGTTTGGCTGATCATTAACACTATACCGATGACACTCGCAACACGCAGAACGGCAGAGAATGACAAACACTGATGTTTCGCCAGCGTACAAGTCTTTATTCTAACATATAGCTCGACTTTTGACACTTGTCCGACGACACGACGGGTGGGAACCGGACCGCCACATTTGGTCGCTAATACATTTTGGAAGCAACTCTCCCAACGTTCCACGTATTTCACAAATCACGTCAAGCCAGCGAAGTGGTAGGCGCGGCCGCACGGCGGGCCAAGTCTGTGGTTCGTGTCAACGGCACATACCAGTTACACCCGTGCCGCTACTCAGCCCAAGTACGTCCCGGAGCCGCAGTTACTGACACAGCTGCTCGTTCTTCCCAGGACTGTAGCGCTATGGGAACACACGTGAAGCGCTTGCGTTTCCTCGTTGAACGGCCTCATACCCGTGGCCGACATCTTCGTTCAGAGGCGCTTGTCTGGGAACTGGCACGCCCGACGCGGCGGAACGAGAAACGCAATAAGTACTCGACAGAGGACTGGCCTGCACGGTCGAGCTCCACCCTGAAGTGAAACCCTCCGTGACAGGGACGATACCAGGCGGACGACAAGAACGATGGATACCTTCCCCAATGTTGTGCACTCGCTAGCCCCAAGGCAATATGGGTCTGTACCTGCACCCGTAGCATCGTCGATTACGCCGAGCCCGTCGAGCACTCCCACAGATACAACTGCCGGAACTGGCTCGACCGCCTCCGCCGTTAGGACCGGGCTGCTGCCCCTCCAGCAATACATTGCGGCGCACGCCATACTGTGTGTCCTCGGCTTCCTCGTGCTGCTGCCTGTCGGGGCCATCGTCGCGCGGTGGATGCGTACCAACAGCGACCGGTGGTTCAGAATCCACTGGGTCATCCAGTGGGTGCTTGGTGCGTTCTTACTGCACTATTCGCCTGCGCATATACCAACGCCTGTGCAGCTATGCCCATTATCATCACTGGTTTCGCACTCGGCGTGACCTCGGTGGCCAAGAATGACCATCTACCGCTGAACGACACGCACAAGAAGTGGGGCGTCGCCCTCTTTTTCCTCTACCTCGTCCAACTCTCCCTCGGCGCCTTCATCCACTTCGTCAAGGTCCCCTTCCTCTCCCTTAACGGCCGCTCCCTCCAGAACTACCTCCACGCCGGCTTCGGGGTTTTCATCATCGGCGCAGCATTTTACCAGGTAAGTGACCCCTGCCACGCACGCACGGCCGACGCTGAGCGACGCACCAGGTGCGCACGGGTTTCCGCACCGAATGGCCGCTGTACACCGGCCTCACGGTCAAGAACGGCGCCAACGTCGCCTGGATCATCTGGCTCGTGGTGCGTACGCTTCGTCGCTCGACCACCGAGTCTCTAAAGCACCAGCCCTGCAGCTCGTGATCGCGGTCTACGTCTCGGGGCTCTGGCTCCTCCCGCGCCAGTTTCGACAGGAGCGCACGGCGCGGCGCAACGCGCGGAGCCGGCTCGGACTCGAGTCTGATTCCACAGAGCTGGTGGTTAAGCGGCACGGGCAGATGTAGGGTGTCAGTCACACGCATGCTGCACACTTGAAGCTTGAGGGCCGATGTCTGATAGGATTTTAGAACGACGCGTATTATTGAAAAGCCTGCGGTTCAGGGTATTTATGATATCTTGGGGACAAGCGGCGATAAGCTCGCTAGGAACGTCCGCGGATGTAAAATTTATTTGGAGAAGTTTTAAACAAAGAACTCATTAAAGGTCGTATTTACTTCTGAAAGCACCAGGCGATACAGCTCAGGTGTCGAGCGACTCGCGCGGGCCCCGCCTTCACCACGAACCAGAGGTAGGCAGGAAACCTCGTGTCTTCCTTCAGCGCCCTCCGTGCTGCGCCGAGGCCACCAGATAGGGCGGTGCGCACCCTCAATTAGGATGTGAGGGACATAGCGTGGACTTGGCTGGAGCTTGCGGCTCTGCGCAGCGCTAAGGCGCTAGTGTTCTGGGAGCAGCGCGTGCTCGGGACGTTGAGTCCCTGGTTCGCGGAGATACCGGGGTCCGCGAAGATCGCTGAGTGGTATGGCGTAGGATCGGTGATGCTTGACTAGGTGACGGCCACCTCGGCGTCGGCCGCAACTCTCTGTTGGTATCTATCTAAGGGAACCAGAATGTGTCCGTCGGCTGAGGACGACGAAAGGTGAGTATGGCCTTCCGAGGAGCTTCACGGAGCGAACCTGGGTTACAGAAGTCTTCGCGGCAGGTGAACGCGTAGCTGAATGTTCCTGCGTTTACGGCAGGGTGCTGCGTAGGCTTCTACGCGAAGCGTAACTGGTCGCCCAAGAGATGGGGGCTGGAGTAGAATTCATGCGATAGGACAAACAATACTCGACATGCCGTGCGCCATGTATTTTGCCGTTGGGCTCCTGACCCGGCTTCGTGTAGTCCAGCTCACAAACGTGAAACCTGTCCGAGAGACCTTGGCTGCTGCCGTTCCGAAACTACTGCAAGAGAGTTTGGCTGGCGCGGTGGCGACTGCGGTATTTATGGGGAGCGCGATTGCGTCATACGCCGTTTGCGGGCACTAGTCATCATGTATGACATCGGTGCTGGAGCGGGGGTCACTTGCTTTTCATCCTGGTCGCGTCATTATATAAGCACTTGGCAAGCTGCCTGGGCGTCTCAAAGCGTCAGCATGAGATCATTGGGTCTCAAACCTAGGACCACCGAGTCTTCACGAAACGAAATGACAACATCCCCGGCTACCTCGTCCTCACGGCCAGCACCCGCCCCGCCGTCCACCCAGCCAGGCAGCGCCTGCAGATTCTCCAGATGACTCTGCTCGTCGCTCTGATACGAGTGCGTCAACGGGATCCCGTCCTCGGTCGAATACCAGCCACGTCAGTCTCAACGGGCTCCAGGACGCTGACTACAGCGCTGCGCCTCCTCCCCTGAATTACACTGTCTATACTCCAACCCGACTACGATCGACGGTCCTCTTCTTCGCCCTCCTCTTTGTCGATTCTGGCCCGCACCGTCGCAATGGCCCTACCCTTCGTCATGCTCACCTTCTGCATCCCACTCCTCTTCACTGGGCTATTCGACGGCCGCATCCGCGTCCCCTTCCGCATGTCGTCCATCCCCGCGAACAAGCCGCTCTCTACACCATCGTCAAAGACGTCATCGCCGTCGACGGTGGCGGCGGGCTTCTCTACCGGCACGTCTGGGCGCACCGCTACCAGGCCTCGGTCGTCATGCGCCGGCTGCTGCGGAACACCGCGCTCGCGTGGGGCGCCACCGGCACTGCGCTCGCCGGCGGGCTCGTCGCCATCGCGTGGCTCGCCCCGCGCGACACCGCGTACGGCCTCGGCTTCGGCGTCCCCTGGCTCTGGGCCGTCGTCGGCACCGCGGCGACGGTCGGCTACGCGCGCTACATGCTCCGGCTCGAGAAGGACAACTGGGGCCACCGTGGCGACCAGGCGCCCTACCGCTACAAGCGGCTGCCCATCCAATGGAGGCGCGACGAGACGAGTCGCGCGATCGAGAAGCGTGAGGTACGGGAGAAGGGCGAGCGGCACGCCTCAGACCCCGACGAGACGACAGACGCGGTGCAGCTTCGCTCTCAAAAGGAGCCGGCCGTTCGTCCTACAGAAAGAGCTGGATAAAAGCCGTACATTAGATGAAATCAGCTCGGCGTCGTGTGCAGCAGCAGTGGGCGTGGGAGACGCTACTCATTTTTTATATGTAGTAATTACTATTGTGCTCAAATTCGGAAGAAGCTATATATTCGTGCATGTAGTGTTAAACCATGTGTCGCCGTTGCTATCTGCGTCGTCGAGAGAAGCAAACGCGCCGGCGTTTGGGGTGGTACACAACTACTCTACGATATGTCTCCTATAAATAAAAGTAGCAATACAAGTGCATACGAGGCGTCGGCGAACACGAGCTCGAAGAACGAAGCGGAAACTCGACATGTGGCATAGGAAGCACGCTACTAAAATCAGGTCACAATGTTGGACAGCATAAGTACGGATTAGCTGCAGGCTACGGGATAAATAATGCAATCAGCGTCGTAACTAGAGATGGAAACTTCGTCCCGCTTGCTCAATGTGAGCATTCGGCTCTGGTGAAACGGATGGGGCATCCTTTCATAGATGATCTCTATCGTTACGAACGGGTTCCACGGAGTAAGGCGACGACGAGACTGCAAACTGGGTCAACGACACTTGATTTTGCAGTTCAAATGTGCTGTGTTCCGTGCAGGCGTGTCGTCGATTCGTGAGATTGCCGTAAACGGCCTCGGGGGCTGGGGAACGAGATGAAGTCGAGTTCTTACGACGGCGAGTGCCAGCGAACGCCGGATAGATATCGTCGGTATAAATAGTTGTAGCAGACGACTGCGAGCAAAGGCGTGTATCTATGCTCGTAGTCGTCGGGCAAATTGCTGGCAGTTCCAAGGTCATGTGGTTGATGACTAGACGAAGTCGTTAGATAAGGTGAAGGCGTCGAATCGCTGAAGGGTGCCTGAATCTTCATTTTATCTTATCACGCGTTATCTGTTTTCACGTCGCAGTTGCCACCAGCACCCTTTCGATTGTTTGTTGACCGGGCTTTCGACTTGTGCCCGTGCTCTTTTACCATATGTCTGTGTTTCTTCGCGGGGTCCCCGAAACGCATCTCGCAGCCTTCGTGCGGGCACTGATGTGGCTTTTCCTTCGTGCTGCCAATTGTACATAATGAGCACTCACCCAATGGTAGCGAAAGTATAGATCTCCGGACATACTGTGTGTTGACGTGTGTCTTGTACCCTGGCTTATGATACGACTTGTACTCGCACAAGCGGCAGAAAAACAGCCTCAGAGTCATTCTCAGCATACCCGCCCGTTCTCCGAGTGCTGCGAGAGAGACGTACCGTATCCCGAGATGCCTGCTTTCGATGTGGCGCCGAGCGGTTTGCTTCGCTGTTGCCTCGAACTCGCAAGAAGTTCCCGTCTCATGACGCCAGGTGCAGCTAAACGATGGCCGGCCATTCTCGGCGCAGGTTGTGTCGAGGTATCGCTCCCAGAGATTATCCGTAGGCTGCGGCTCCGAGCCATCTGCTGCTAGCTCGGACGTCTCTATCGCGGAGCTGAAATGAGATGCGGAGGATTTAATCAGCGACTGTAACATATGATATAGCTCATATAGCGCACTTTTCACCCTCCTCTGGGAGGGAACAACTCTCTGGGAGAGAATGAGAGTTACTGTAGCCTTTCGTCAGCAATTTTTAAGAACGTCATGCAGCGGTGGAAACTCACGAAGCATATCCGAACATAGAGAGGAGAACTTCGCAGGCCGCGACTTCATCTTCGGTTAACTGATTATAGTCCCGGCTGCCAGTGATAGCAGTTAATGTGTGCAGGCACGAACAGGATAAAGCTTACGGCGGAAGGGCTGTAGCCTCTGAGTCTGGGCACGTGAACGTTGCAGTTCCACCTGCGTGCTGATCTGCATTGTCTTCCGAGTTAGAGAGCATATCTTCTCTATTACCCTGAAGCTTTTGCCTTTGAATCTGTGCGTGGGGGGGGCGAGGTGTCGAGGAGAGGAGAGCGGCTGGGTTTTATTAGCGAGAAACTGGCCGTAATATACTCGTAGAAGTAGCTTTCTGGCACGATGTGGTGCACATGCAAACAAATTTAATTTTGAGACAGAATTATCTTGACCAGAAAAACGGATATTCCAAAGCGCGGGGAAACCGACGGTAGCGCGCTGCGATCAGTTATAATATCCGGGGTTGAAACTGACGGGTGAACCAGTCTGTGCATATTATACAGCACGTTTTAGAATAACTGAAAGGAGTAGGTTTATGACTATAGAATACAGATATGGTTCGACAACTCGAGTGCTCACCTTTAAATATACGCTCTCCAGGCCAGTTGGGGCACTTCGCACACGCCTTCCTAATCCAGATATCCAGCATGGGCGCCACGCCCAGATTGATTATTGAGCATGTCCTCAACAATCCTTTCTCGTGGGGGCAAGTGCGGCCTTGAGTATCGATTTGTCCATCAACGCCGATGACAGTGCGGATCAAGTACTGTGCTGCTTGGCCTACAGAACCGAGAAGTCAGATTTACGGATTTTGTGACGTCCGCAGTAAATCCTCTCACTTCTTCCGATGGAGCGCGCCGGCAGTGAATGCAAGGTGTGGCGGCGGTGGGACATCGCAAGATAGCATGACTCAGGAAACCTAGAGAATAGAGGGTAGCGGTTTCTGTATGGGGGGTGCAGGGGCCTTGGCCAGTTGAGGTTACGGTGGGGGTGGGGAGCTTTGCGATCAAGTCGTAGTCAGTTCCAAACCGGCAGTCCCATCCAGAAATTACTCACGAATATCGAGCACAAAAATGAGCTGTAAACTCGTTCCTGGTGTGGAGCTCCACAGGCCGTGGAAGAGGACCCCAAGAGTGGACATGCTCTGGAGGTCTAGCTCACTACTCGCCTTGACGTGTATAAACGCGCGATTGAGGTCTACAAGCGCGCCCGATTGTGCTAGCCAGGTGAAGATGTATCCGGTGTAGCAATGCTTAATCCAGCTCCCGTATGCGTGCACTACCAGCTGCCTAAGACGGATGGGAGTTGAGTGAAAGAGCAAACCGCTAGCAAGCGGCCTGTCGGGGAGCGCCCAGCGTAGATCAGAGAGTGCGAGTTTTTCGACGCTGGGCATCGCAGATATGAGTCGTTGCATATCCTGAGCAGTGTGGAATGTGATACGACAGAGCGATAGCTCTGTGACTGCGATGAACTTGCGAAAGCAAATTTCGACAGGCGGCCCTGGGGGAAGATAGAAGGCACCGTCGCAAAGCTGAAGATGTCTAATACGATTGAGCTGTGAAGGAAGCTGGATGGCCGTTCGATACAGAGCTGGATGATCTGCCGATGCACCCACAGAGATAGCTTCGACGCGCTCTAGGATAGCTGAGATGATTTCGAGGGCTTCTGCGGGCGATGGTGCGCCAGGGGAGAGATCCACTTTGAGAACGCGGAATAAATGGTACTGACTTCGGGGAGCCCACGAACGAGCAACAAGGGAGCACGCTTTGAGGGTATCCGATACTTCTTTGCGCCGAACCTGGAACCAGCAGCAGGGGTGGTCTTCGGCGACGAGGTCTATGATGTGCTCACAGATCGTCACCGGAATTGCCGGTCGAGAGCAAGAGTACTTGCAATCAGTCGAGGGAGTACAGCACCGGCTGTTACGCGATAAGTATTCAGCCCTCTTGTGCTGCTTTCCGCATCGCGCTTCACGAGGCAAGCTCATGAAGTTTCGAAGAGCGTCCTGCTCGAGTGATACATCGCAACAACAGCTGGAGGGAGATATACGATTGTAACTAACAGTCAGCACAAAACAGCATGGTATGTAAGTTCAGCGATACATACAATGCATCACCCGACATAGCAACCGAGATATGTCGAAGCTCAAGCCCCAGCTAGCAGCGGAGACCCATCCCCATGACAGATGCACAACTTCTGGGCTTTGCAGTGAGCCTTTTAACCAGTCGAGAGAACGACAGGTATAGCCCCGTGGGAATTGCATTTGTAGAATGTTTATACGATGAAAATCAGTTTCCGGACGAGTGTTGGGCAGCTGGACGCATCGAGGATATATTTGGAAGTAATATCGGTGACTATTGTCAAGCTGTGGGCAAAGGGTCCGGGGAGCAAAGCCCCAAAAGCGCGCTAAATGAGCACGTCCATTGGTACATAGGGCGACAAACTTATTTGCAAAGGTCTGATTTGGCCCTAACGGGGTCGACAATCCTTCAGCAAGCGCGTCTCCTCCGCTCTTCCCACGATGCGTTGGAGCCCCAATGACACACCTGCTAGGAGAACCTCGTGCTGAGATGCAGTCTGATAACTGCATCAGACTGCTATAGGAAGATAGTCGCTAGTAGGAGGAATATGTGACGTTCACGCACCAGTGTATTTCCAGCATTAGAGAAAGAGTACTTCACAGTGGTGTGAGAGACTCCTCCACACACCGCTACTTCCTTCATCACGTGAAGCTTGGAAAAAGCTCTCATGGGCAGCGATGCTCATGAAGGATAGGTAAGGGCGAGATTTCCCTGCCGTCCAGATTTCTGGGAAGCTTCCTACCGGAAGACGTTCGCATGCGTCAGGGTTATTGATAGAATACCTTACTTACAAATAAAGCCACACTAGCATCATGAGAAACTAAAACAGTCGTCACTCTGTAGCGTGTCTGGGACGAGTGCGAAGTGCGAACGCATGGCGAAAGTTGAAGTTTAGAGCATCAATATACAAGCGCCAGCATTGTAGACTGGAGAAATCCGGGCGCTCGTTTCCCAAGCGCTTTTAAGCGTGTCGCCAACTCTCGTTGTCCTTAGAATGCCGTTCCATGCCAGTCCAGATATCGTTTTTGGCGGCCCGAGTGCTTTTAGAGTACTGCCAGTTTATGGAATGGCTGCGTTTCCTGACGCGTCAAGGGCAGATGGCGTTCTTCCTAGTACTGTATTCTTACAGTCATGTTGGATGAAAGTGCCGGAATTGGGTTTTCTGACAACTCACCAAAATAAAATCCCCATAAATCGAGAAAGAATCATTGGCGGGGTCAGTGGAAAGCTGGTGTGGTGTGTGACATCCGGTATGATCGTAGAAATATGATAAGCTTCCTGCTCTCCAGAATCAGAGGTGCGAGTAAACTAGATGTACACTGCGTGGGCATGGCCGCTATATTACACACTTGCGCATTTAGAAGAGAATACATCATACCATGCAAGACATACAAGACGTTGTGGCGCACACCAAATGACCGAAGGCTACAAGTTCCACAATATAATAAGTAACTCGTGCGCTCCCAACGCCAATAAGAACACATTATTCGTGAACTAGACCTTCCACATGATCATTCTCGCATAATCAAAGGCTTCTTCATTGAGTCATCGTAGTCGTAATCTTCATCTGTAATGCCAACAAAGGTTGACGCGCGGCTGGACAGGCGCTTCCTGACTCGGTCGCCTATCTGGACGTCGAACATCCCGGCAGCTCTTAGGTTCTCGAGTTCAGGTGACTCGACGTTGGTGAGATGCGGCTCATTTCCGAGGAGCCACGTGTACTGTAAGAGGCCTCCGCTGTCGGCGACGATCTTGGGGTCGAAGGCAGCACGGGCAGATGCTGGCACTCGGACGACCAGGATGCAGAGCGCGAGAAGCCCCACGGACGCCACCAGTCCGATGAGAATCTACACCATATTTTTTCAGCTGTGAGCGATCGAGATGGCAGTGCGAAGATTATACCGGTGCTAGGCTCAACTAGGAGGGCATCAGAGTTAGTATTCCGGATTACTAGCTGGTGGGAAAGACTCACGTTTAGGCGTAATCTTTGCACGGATACCGCGATGGTCGCCTCACCATGCGGAAGTGCCCCGCCCGTGTTGTTAGAAGTAAGGTTTAGGACAGGATTGAACATTGCAATGTACGCGCTTGCCGGGCTCATCAACTCATCAATGGCGTGCGCGCTGGAATAGTTCACTTGGTTCCCTGTAGAATGATGTTTACTCTGAAACAAGTCGTCGAAAACCATACCACGTACCATACCAAAACGTAGCGGCCAATGCCTTTTCGAGGCTATAGTTGATCTCCGTAATGGTCACATTCGTCCGGTTTTCCGACACAATGCGGAGGTCTTCAGTCATAAATCTGCTACGGACGTCAGATTCACTCGGACAGAAATCAGTGGCAAGGGACGAACACGTCGAAAGCTGTGGGGATGACTGGGTTCGGCAAACCTGCGGACGCGGCCATAATGGCATTTGGTATAGGGTTCTCGTCGAAGGGGGAGACCTGGAACGCCTCGAGCTCAAATCCAGGTAGCGCAACCGGAGGACTAGCCTCTGTGTAGTTGGTGGACCCCGCAATAACCGTCAAGGAACTGCTGTGCCCACTTGGAGGCGAGAAATATGGGGCGGCCTGGGCCTACAGCATTGGAATGAATCAATGGGTAATGCACACTATAGCAGGTAAAGACTCACAGCTCTGAGCTGATCAGTTAGCGCTGGATCATCTGGCCATGTCCAGTTTTTCCAAAGCGTGTTCGGCTGCAGCTTCGGCATGTTGAGCACGGGCGTGCGCGTATCGACTGCCACCTCGATCTTGGCATTTGTGATCTGTACGCTACACGCTAGCAGCTGTATAGCTGTAATCATCACTACACGTGTGCGTCTCAGCTTTTGATGGTGGCAGGATAACGCTAGAGAATTGTGCTTACCGGCAGGATTCGCGTTCGGTGGAGGAACGATAACTTGCGGATTGATAGGTCGCCAAGGGCCACCTTGGATGGATGCCTGATTCCCATCCGAGTCCAAAATAGTTACCGTAGACAGGATAACAATGGGCGCCCAGCAGGTGCCGGGAGCATAAAATAGAGGAGAGTCGCTGCAACCAGCTTCAATGTCAGCAACCTGCGCCGTGTAGATCGCTGAGGCGCTGTCTAATGTATGGCGCGCGTTAGAGTAAATATACCAACAATCGTATACGCAGGAACCCACAAGGAAGACTAGCCAAATAATAATTATGGGTCTGCCCATTGGAGTTATCGATGTTAAAGATCAGCCATGTCATATTTGGCTGTCCAGGCCGGGCGAGACCGTCAAAGGCTTGAATCGTTGAGTCTGCGTGGGGTAGAGCGGCGCAGTCAACGTTATAAACAGATGCGTTGACCGTAGCGGTTCCATTTGCGGATGGGACTGAGGGGATTATATCGTAGACCATGTTATCTTGGAGCCCCAGCATCGGTACTTGGTCATAGACCGGAAGGATATCGTACGCAGAGGCGTAGCTGCAGCACAAATGAGTTTCTAAAGCATCACACCTATGAGAAGACTCACTCGGCGTTGTTCGTGGTATTGGCAAGGACCGTGGAGAACACCGTCGGCGCCGTCGCATTAAAGGGTACCACATTGAGCGCAGTAGGTATCGTGATATGGAGCAACCACACGCCGAGCAGATAGACAGTGATATAGACGACGCCGACCATAGCTGCGCGAAGCTTGAACTGATCCCACAAAGATCCGCATGCTGCGCCGAGGCCGAGCCAAGCATTACTCTTGTCATGTAGGGAGGTCAGTGTCTGGCGGACGTAAAGGTCGCTTCGGAAAGCAAGAGACTGGGTGTACGCGACCAGCACCGCAAGAAAGATCTAAGGGAACGATGAGCATGACCCATGCACCGGAAGTACCGACTCACCGTTCCAAAAACCTGCATCAAAGTCGTCACTATCAGCGGGTACCACTCGAGCGAGAACGGCGTGATGGCGAAAGAGACAGAGCGTTCGTAGTGCCCTAGGGACACGAGGAGAAAGGCGACGTGGATGAGGATGAGGAGGACATGCAATGCGATGCAAATCGATACCCGCAAGTGGTACGCTGATGACCCGGTCTTTCGAATGTCTGCCTCTGGTCCTTGCGAAATGTCCCGCCCTGAGCCCAAAGGTAAGAATCCGCGAGTCGTACGGAACCTCTTCTCTGGAGCATAGTCCATGACGGTGCGCCCATAGGTCGTCTCACGGCTGAGCGATGCGTCGTGCTGTTTATCTGCTGCACCCAGCCTGCTCGCCTGTGCCTGAGATACCAGCGGTTAGAAGCGCCAGAGACACCGGCGCAGTACCATTGTACCCGACGCTGATTTGACGGCCCCAAGAACGCATCCCGCTGTTTCGGGGCGGCATTCCATCAAGAAATCGATGGGCTAGAGTCTCATTGATTCATTTATAGGGCTGACGCGCCGCACATTCGCGTGCCCTGAAAAGGAGCGCATGGTGCTAGCGCTTCTACAAAGATATTAGCAAAGATCAAGTGATACGGAAGGAGCTGAATCTATGTCCCTTCCCGCAACAAGCACGCCGTTCAACACCATCGCGTCAGGCTCTGTTCATAAGAAATTTTGCCGAGTACCCGCAGACAGATGAATAGGCATTGCGCGCCATTATGGGCGATGGTCGCGGGAAGGCTGGCGCCGAAACTCGCGGATTGAATAGGTGGAAGGCACGCACCAGAATCAAACGTTGATACTGGGGAAGACGATGACGGTACCCATAGACTTCGACCGCGGCGGGCCCGCCGATGCCACCACTGGAAACGTTAGCCCCTGTTGCATAATAGAGATCTGACACAGACGCGCTATGCATCACTCTAGCTTTTGCTACTTATTTATCCTATTTCATTAACATCATAGCAATCCGATATGGTGTAGTGGCTAACATTATCGCCTCTCACGCGATAGCCCGGGGTTCGATTCCCCGTGTCGGAATATATTTTTCACTCGATTGCATCACCTCGTACGGATTGAACAGCGTTGGCCGCAAGTATCTTCCGTCCGATGTACTGGGGCTGTATTGAACAGCGACGATTAGGTGGTACAACAATATTGTCAGGGAAAGTACGAAAGCCTGCTTCTGAACGGCACATCCCACAAAGAACTAGAAACCGATGCAGACATAGAAGCGAGGGTAGAACGATGGACCAGTCCCGAGAGTGAAGATGTCTCTCTGTTCGAGTCACCGCCATCAGTACTTTGCGAATTGACGAGGGAGGTTCGGTGAATAGGCCAAGCTTTACTATACATGCCGTCGTTGTACGATAGATTTCACGACATGAACAAAAATTTACGCAGCTGTCATTGTCGCTATTCCAAAATCCCTACTCGACTTCCATAGCGTACCAATGGAGTAAGAGTAGGAAGTAGCTCATCTCGTCAATGATGGTGACACTATATCTTCTCCAAGCTGAAAGTAGGAATCGCAATACTGTACTTTTACGACCTTACCGGATGAAAGCCCCAAATTTGATTTTTCCGACAACTCCCCATATTCGCCATAAATCGAGATAAAATTATTGGCGGGGTCAGCAGAAAACCGGTGTGACGTGTGACATCCGGTATGGTCATAAAAGTACAGTATACCGTGGAGTACTCAGCACTCCTCCTCGCTCTTCTTCTTAAGAACGCTTTGAGATGAGGGCGAAACAGTCGGCACCAGGCATGTGAGACCTGATGGGAACGCTTTGAGATTTTGGCATTGCTACGTTATATACGAGTCAATGGGACAATAACTACAACTGGGCTAGGGCCAACTATGTACGCAGGACCCCCAGATTATCAAGGCGTGGAAAGTATCTCCTGATTACTTCGTCTGACGACCAGCAGAAGTCTAATATGGGTATACTGTGAAGCACAGCAGGTGCAGCAGACAGAAAGACATGAACACGATCCAGCCGCACTGCTTGCACCATTCCGAGCAGAAAGTCTTCGCATTTACATATCTCCTGGGCATAGACCTCCAGTCTGCCCAGCATCTGTGCATATGTCAAGCATACCGACGTGTCATACCGGGAAGGCGCGAGCACCAGTTCGACATACTCAAGATGAGATACAGAGAAGACGCATAGTAGCACGCTTGCCAGCTGATCCCAAACACTTCCGAGAACTGGGCCTTCTGGCAGATGACGTCCACGACGGGATAGCCCAACGACGATAGTGAGGCGTTTGAGGCCAGGGCGGCGAAAAGCTTCAGCATTTAGAGCTGCGTGAGGGACAATTAGCCGCAGATCCACATATTCAGAATCCCATTGACTTACGAGTAAACGCTGTACCATGTGAGTACTCGACCAAGATAAAGATATGTTGCGGCATAGTTGCAAGGGATTTGAGAAAAGGCGTAGTCCAGGAGCCGTTATAGCGAGCTATATCCAGTCGCTCCACAGGCCCTGCCTCAACTAGCCGACGGATTATGGGTGAGAGCAGATCAGTAGGACCGCATCGCAGGACGAGCGATGTGACACGTGGAAGCGCCATAGCCTTGAGCGCGGCTTCATCCAGCGGCGCGGACAGCATAAGCGTACGACCATAGAGATGCAGCTCTCCGACCGTGCCAAACTGGAGGAGGACGTCGCAGAGTGCATGCAGGTCATCCGGCCTTCGGCGAGAGTCGGCATGGAGCAGCCCATGAAGTTTAAGGCTTCCGACATGGGGAATAGCAGCTGAGGAGCAAACACTTGTGTTGCGTGCTCTAAACACTCCGCGTAGATCTAGTGTTTCCAGTTGGGGAAAGAGATGGACGAAGCGAGGAAAACTGAGTTCGACATCCCCGGCTGTCGGGTATTCCAGACTGAGAAATCGCACAGCCTGCCGAACTTGGCCAAACATCTCCAGTCCCATTATGTCTTGGATGTAGAATCTCATATCCTGGCACTCGAGATTCTCGAGACGGACAAATAGCGAGAGCGTCCGGAAACGATAGCGAAATGTCCGTTCGCGCCATGTCTTGCAGACCAGTGAGCAGGAGAATAATGGCTCCTTGCGCTTGTTCGATACGGAACCAGATGGATTATCGAGGATCATGTCAAGAATGACGTCGAATAGCTCTGGTAGGAGCATGTGCTCAATATAGCAGTACATGAGATGTTTTGTAGGCCCTGAGAACATTTGGTCAGTTCAGAAGCGCTGCTAATTAAAACAACAGCAGCTTCCAAATAAGCTGAAAAGGTACACCAAACGCACTTTTCCGCTTTGGGAATACTTGCGTGCTGGGTCACGACGGCGCTGCAGAGCATGCTTGAAGCCAGGCCGTCATGGTGACCGCGGCATGATCACGTGATCCATGACAATGACCCCAGGGCCCAGATGACCCCGTTCACCCCCATCGCCCTGCGTGCGTGCTGGCCAATCGTTATGGCGGATCATACCCAGCGTAATGTCGCTCTTAAAGCTTTCGGGCTTCTCACCTGATGCTACGAGCATCCTGAGTGCAAATCTCATCTGTAGAACGTTTCTGCGCCAGGTGGCGCCTAGTGTGCAAAAGCAATTAAACACATTCAGCTATCCCTCACAAATAGTACATAGTTCTGTTATTCAGCAATATGCCCCGACGCTCCGCAGCCAGTAAGTTTAGTACACCTCCAAAAGGTCAACAACTCGATCTTAACACATTCAGTGCGTCTACTAATGCTGGTCCTTTTTGGTCATGTTGCGCGAAAGCCCCATCACACCACCTACTCCTCCAACGGCGGGAGCGTGCGAGACGCCATTTGGTATGAGTTATTTAGGCCTACATACGGTGTACATTGGTATATTCCAAAAATAAATTCACCTAACATCACCCATTCAACCTTGTACAGCTGTATTCAGATTGGCGGGACCGGGCCATTCTACCAGCCCAAATGCCTTCTCAAGCCGGCGTAGCGCAATCTGGGAAGCCATTTCACTAAATGCGCGCTACAGCACTGTATAGAGCACGTACCCGCATCTGCTTCTCAGGTAGCGTGAAAGTTATCCTGAATCGCGTCAAGACGGGATCTGCGAACGTTGTTGTCGGTTTCTGCGTTCTGATCAGCGTACTGTCCGGTACGACTGAGAGGGGAACATACGATGAAGACGCCTTCGCGGAGCATGGAGGCGACGGCGGCGCCGAGCCTGGCTTGCGCAGAGAGCGGTTCGCCGGTAGACCCAACGGTGGGCATAATGCGATCGAAGTCGACGAGGAAGAAGACGCCAGCGGAGGCCGGAACAAAGCTGTGTCGCAAGGAAGATAGACCGCGCATCATGGTTATTGCACAAGCAAACATTCACAGAAAGTTTAAACTGACTTCAGCTTGTGAAAATCGCACCAGTTGCCGACGAAGTCAAACGCCTTGGACATCCGTTTCACGTTCTCATCCAAGTACCACCGCGTGAACGTCCCCAGTTGCTGTGCCCTGCCCTGTAATTCATGTCCGCCGTCCCCCAGGTTACCGAGAAGCACATGCGTGAATAGCGCGTCAGCCGCGGAGGAAATCGGGGTTGCACGCAGGGCAACATTAAGCATCTTGACGATGGTTGGATTGTGCTGCGACACAAGCGCACCGGCCTTGATGCCCGACGCGCCGAACGCTTTCGTCGGGCCTGCCAGGACGTGGATGCGCGACGGATCGACGCCCTGAGGATTTCCTGGCTGAGAGACCGGGAGACTCAGGATCGACACGAGTGGCGGTGGGCTGGGGACGTAGGACGAAGGGAAGATTTGGTTCGCAAACACCTCGTCCACGAGGAGATGTAAGTTAAACTGCCGGGGAAGTGTGTCAGTGAGAGAACTAACGCGGAGGTCTTGGCGGGAAGCAGACCTCTTCTGCCAGTGTAGCGTACGCAAGTACAGTTTCGGCTGGATACGCACGTGCAACAGGATTATGTGGGTTGCAAAGCAGGAGCACGCGGACGCGCGTGCCATTCTGCTGCGATGTATGGATCGCAGATCGAAGGTATGGTATGCAGTCTAGAGAAAGAGAATCCACTTCTGGCGGAACGTGTGCAAGTATGACCTTAGCACGGGCGGGGTATATGATGTCCCGACGATAGTCGTCTGAGGCGAACGCGTATCAGCTATCACAATCCGGCAAGTTAGAGAAGAATCATGCCCACCGTAGAAAGGCTACAGAAGGCCGGAAAAAAGTCAAAAATGCACGATAGTCAAATTGTTTCAAACTTACAGCAGTCAGCAGAACGCCGTCGCCCTCGTCGCAAACGGTCCACATAAATTGGGCAATGATAGAGCCTAGACCGGGCCCTATGACGGTATGCTCGGAGGTCACGGGGGATACAGGCTTAGCGTAGTCGTTGATATACAACGGGAGAGCCTGAATCGTGCTCTCGCCAAATCCGTTCATTATCGCTGATCCTGGTAGCGGGGATGCATGGTGAGTAGGCTGTTTCACAAGTCGCGATGGAGATGAAGGCAAGGCAGCACGAACGATATTTCAAGTGATTTGAGGTGATGTGACAGTGAGTATTCATGTACTGGAGACAGTATCAAAACTGTCCCATGGCGTTCGATGGTACGCGCACCTCGGAAAGCTCTTCGCTCAACAAAGAGTTTTCGGCCGTAGCAAGGCTTATCACACCATCCGGGTTAAGCTTCTCATCATAGAACCTATCTGTGATTGTGCTGTCGAACGGTTGGTGGTGCAAACGACGGATAGGGTGATACAGTTCCCTACCGTAAGTCGATTTCTGTGTCGAACCTGACCTGACCCCTCTGTGACAAGGAAGGTGGGGCCATGGCAGCCTCCTTCTGAGATCTATTACAGCCCTCGAGTCAATATGATGTTCACCTACGCGTATCTGCACGTCGAGGCCTGGGTGATGGTGTCGGAACGGTCTACAGTAGCGTAGGAAGGGCGCTTACAGGCATCGCGCGACCTAAGTACCCCGAGTCCGGGCCGAATACCGAAGATGGGTTCCATCTGGCGCTGACCTGGACTTCATCGCTTAGATATCGCTTTGAACGCGTACTATCTCCTGCTTTGCCAGCAACCCTCGGTCCTCCATGGAATTCTGCAGTCGACACCATCAGCTGCACTCAGGTCCTTCGCGAGCGTGAACGAAGAACCGTGCCAATTGCACTGCGCACACCAAGGTCGCGAACCTCGATTGGACCCTAACTTCCCCACGGTTGGCGGGCGCAGCGCATCTTCACTCGAGAACACTGGCCCAGGCTGCGGCACTGTCTCTGCACCCGACCGCATCGCTAGCTGTAGTGTATCGTACACACAACGTCTGCGCGTACACAGCTTCCCGCTCTGGCTGCAATTGTCGCCTTGAGCGCGGATTGCCGTCTGAACTTGCGCTTGCGAGACTTGCACTGATTTTTCCTTCTTATACCTATGCATCCATGCTCTCCTCCGAGGCATGTTCTAGGTCGACGAGCTTCTGATTTCGAGCCACACACCTTAACTCTTGAATAGCAGAGAACCCGAGTTCGAGTTCGGTTACGCGCTTCATCGTTAGATGGTACCTTATCGCAACAAAGAAAGAAAAGGTTCGAAGTGCCTGCTTCGTGCACTCGTAGTGTGCACCTCGGCTGGCGGTGGAAGATGGCACCGTGGTCGATGTCTGGTCTTCACTGTTCCTGGCGGAGTCCCTGGGGTCCAGCCCAATACCTGATGTATAAATCGCCTCGCAAAGTACGCTTCTGAGGATGCTGAAGAACCTTGCCTGCCAGCCATGTACAAGAACGAATATCGTGCCGAGCCCAGCGCTCCGATCCAACCAACGGACGACCTGCACGAGAAGACTCCGGTCGCGGATTACGACCTCAATTCCCTCGTACCACCGCCGCCTGAACCTCTCACCACAGACCTGGTGACTCTAGAACCCCTCGTGGTACGGACGCACCATCATATTCCTGACAAACGCTGAGCATAATGTAGCCCGTGTTGCATGCCGATGCTCTTGCCGCAGCGCTTTCTGCAGAGCCACTTGCTAATGATCCAGACGTTTGGTTCTACCCTTTCCCCTCCGGACGACCATATAGTGCGTCTCTCGCGCTCCTCGAACCTTATGCGTCATTAACACAGCTTTCTGGGCGCAGAGTCGCGTCAAGAGACGCTTGTCTACATGGAGAAGCAACGCAGGCGAGCGAACGTGCTACCATTCGCCATCGTCGACCGACGGTCAGGAGAGTTCGCTGGAACAATGAGGTTGGTAACAATCCTCCGTTTCCACCGGCACATGAAGCGCCGCGTGCGCGGACCCCCGTCGCTTGTTTGTTTCACTGTGCATCAAGGTACTCACTCGCCCGCTCTCCCAGCGTCGGCTGCGACCCCAAGCAGGCGAACCTCGACCTGCGTATGATGAGCGTGAAGCTCATCCCCAAGTTCAGGGGCTCCCCGCTCTTTGTGCATGCCTCGTACCTCCTTCTCTCTTACATCCTCAACCCCACCGCAGAGGGCGGCCTCGGAATGGTGCGCATCGGTTGGCGCTCGCCACCAGAGAACACGCGCAGCCACCGCGCGGCCGAGAAGCTCGGATTCACGCGAGAGGGCGTCCAGCGGTACGCGCTCCTGTGTCATCTGCAGATCGCTAGCAACGGAGGAACTGACGCGCCTGGGTCAGGTGCTACGAGGTCTCGGACGCGAGCGCGGTACTCCTCAGCGCGCCGTATCCCCACTTGCATGTCGTCCCGGATGGCACAGGAAGGCTCACTGAGGATGCCGTCATCTTTTCGATGACGATACACGACTGGCTGGGACCCGGAAACAAGCGGCAGAGACTCGCGGACCTGTGTGCTAAGGTCCAAGGTGCGGGCTCTCGCGAGGCGGTTTGATGGCCGATCTCTGGCCTGGAGTAGATAGGGTGGTAGCGCGGTTGCCAGATTGCCTTCTGAGCATCATTCCGCTCTTACCCCGCGATTCGAAATGATCTCTGTAGTAAATCTCGTTAGGAAAATCTATAGATCAACATGAGCGGGTCCGATAATTCTGACACTTCCGCTTTGATTGTTCATGCATAGAGTGTCCAGCCAGTCCGACCCTCAGTGCTGTAAAGATATTCAGCAGTTAGCTCTGGCGGTCAGAGGTAAAGCGTGCACATACATAATGGTTGCGTTCGACGGATCCGAGCTGTGAGGCGATCGCTGGACTGCACCTGCTCTACACTTTGTCATCATGAGCTCGCCGATGTCGATGAATGTCTTCACAGGACCCACAGCCATCCGAGACTTCTACAATCCTGAGATGAACCCGCCGTTACCTGTATGCCACTTCTCCACTAATAGTACTCTCTACTAATATGCTGCTTATATGTCAGCTCGTGGAAATTCCAGAGCATCCATTTACTGGTGACGGCGTGCGTATTTTTGCTAAATTAATGACACAGCTACCCGCGGCGAACGTAAAATCTCTCCCTGGTAAGCTTTCGCACCATGTGTCTGGCACATAGTCCCTGCTAATGTAGTCTCAGCACTGAATATGCTTTTGCGTGGGGAAGAGCAAGGCGAGATTACCCAAAGCACACAGCGGATAGTCGAGTACTCGTCCGGGAACACGGTTATCTCGCTCGGCATCTTAAGTCGCGTACTCGGCCTGGCGCCCGTCACAGCGTACATCTCGAACAAGACGTCCGACGCGAAGCTGAAGCTCCTCCGCTTTTTCGTGAGTGCCTATAACAACGCATGATGTAAGCCTCGAGACTCACCTCGTCGTGCAGGGTCTTGAAGTGTACGCATCCCGCTTATAGCAACGTGGCTTTCGGAGCTGTTGCGGCTGACAGCCGTTCTTCAGATCCCTCTTTGGCGGCCCGGCTCAGGTAGAACCCGCAGACGTCAATGGAGGTATACACGCTGCCATCCAAGATGGCAAGAAACCTGGCATCTTCAATCCAGGGCAATACCACAACGGACACGTACGTCTTCCAGTGGTAAGAACCCAATGTGCACTGCTGACTACCCATCGTGTTCAGAACTCGGAGGCACACGTACGGTGGACGGGCCCGCAGCTACATGCGCAACTGCCTGAGCTCTCCGTCTTTGCCGCCAGCGTCGGAACATCCGGTACGTCTGGCGCCTTGTAGATGGATGTACAGCGGCGCTGAGCGACGTCGACAGGCACGATGACCGGGACGGGCTCGTACTTTAAGTCGGTCAGCCCACGGACAGTGAACCTCGGGTGCGTCTCCCACGCGTCGTGTGCGTCTGCTCTTTGCTGACCCTCGCGCTTCTTCAGCATCTTCACAGCGCCGGGCGACCGCGTACCCGGGCCGCGCCCGATCGACTTGGTGCAGACGATCGACCTGCCATGGAAGGAGGTCATCGACGTCGCCGAGTACGTCGGCTCGAAGGAGTCGTACACGCGCAGCATGGAGCTCTGCCGCGAGGGGCTTCTCGTAGGACCGAGCTCGGGGCTGGCATACCAAGGCGTGCTGCAGTACCTGGAAAAGACGAGGAAGGCCGGCGGGCTTGACAGTCTGCGGAACTCAGACGGTTCAATAACCTGTGAGCATCATTAGCACATGGAAATCGGTAGTATTCTGACGATACGAACAGGCGCGTTCATCTGCTGCGACCAGCCGTTCATCTACCTTAACGACTACTTTGACAAGCTGCCGGCTTCGCTCTTCCCGCAGGTCCACAAGGAGCACCTGCTAGAGGTTGATACGTACCCGTACGGCGTCGACTGGAAGCTGTCTCTCGCAGATGCCCGCGCCATCTTGCAACCAGTGGCCAAAGTTTGCCCATGCCCCCACGACCGGAACGGTTCCTCCGACAAGAAGAAACTGAACGACGTAGCCGACCACTCATCAGTGGCAATCCTCGACTTGCGCGGGCCAGCGGACTCGCTCGTACACACATCGCTGGCATGCACACACCAAGTGCTTAGCTTCGCCATTGAGGCTCGCGAAGACCCGAACCCATTCCGGGACGCCGACGTCCTCGCGCGACAGTGGAGGGCGCTCAACATGCGGCTCGAGCCTACCGATTATGAATTCGGTGCCGCGCTGTTCAAGGGCGGACGCAGGAGAGTACTTGTCGTATCGTACGACGGGAACGCTGCGAGCGTTGGATGCAGTGTGTTGCGCGCGAAGGGCCTCCAGGCTTTCTGGCTCGATGGTAGAGTAGAGGAACTAGGCGAACTGTAAGGAGTAGGTAGAAAAGGAAGGATGTAAATTATTTGTGCATTAAACTTCTGCTATATTTCCTCGCAAAGGGCTGAAACTTACGGCGGCCGCGCAAACACAAGGTGCAGTGATAGTTGGGAGATTCGTCAGCAGAAGTGGTATTGGGGGAGTAGTCGGTAAATTAACGGCGTACTTGCAGTGGTCACCCGAGGACCACACCCCGCTGTCTTCACTCCTTCGGCTTACTTCGGTCTCTAGCTGATAATGCCAGAAAGCGCGAGCTGCGTAGGCAAAATCAGACAAGTGTCTCCAGTGTAATCGCGCCTATCTACTCCTTATTTTTGTAATTGCCAATCGCTGAAACACGAGCAAAGTCTTCAGTTCCTTACATTGCCCCACTGCACGCTATCTTAGAGCCTACAAGAAGGAAAACTGGCCAACCATCTGCTGGGCAAGAAGCGAGACATGGAAGCAAAACATGAGACAGTCAACATGGGAGGCAAAACGTGCGGATGTGGGTGTACAACCGGGGCGTAGGCTGAACAGTCGCAAGCCAGGGGCGACGGCGGAGGCTGTGTCAGTGTGTGGAGATATCGCAGCCACAGTCGCCCACAAAGACCTACAAGAAGCAGACTGGCGGTAGACGGTGCAACATGATTGCAGTCTGTTGAGTCAAATTGGCGTATTCGTGTCCGCTGATTCGCCGACTCCTGTGACATGAGTGAGCGTCTACCGGCACAAGTGCCTCACCGCCTCACCCGCAGAATTGCCTCAGCAGCCCGAAGCTTCTGAACGAGCTTTATAAAGCCGTCGCCTGCGAAAATGCCTCTTCTTCTCCTCCCCGTCCGCCGTCCTCCCATTTCACTTTCCCCACCTCCGTCGCATCTCATGCTAGGCTCGACATGGCGGGGAGAGACTCGTTGAGTCGTACAGAAATCTCGTCACTAATCGGGAACTCGCGTGAAGGGACAGTGTGATATTCAAGACTGCCAGGTGCCTTCTCAACTTCTCAACCAATTCTTCTATACTCGTTCATCACTAGTCTCGCAAACTGTTTCTCAGCAGCCCACCCCCGCAGCTCACGTGTGCGCTGTGCCGAGTTCGTGCGCACCATCGGCCCAGCTACGTAGAACATCTCGTCTGAACCGATTCACTCCCACCACCATTGCCCATCCTGCTTTCCCATACCCCTGAACGCAGCATCGCTGACACCCGATTGCATGCACCGCCCGAGAATTTCCGACAGGCCTCCAACGTCACCTTTCTATCGGCCGATGACGGCGAAAGGGTCCTATCCAGGAGTACCCCCTTGCGCAAGGCGTGTTCATCGCTATCGCGGCTGACGAGCGGGGATACAGCTCTTGCAAGTACTCTGGTCTTTGATCTGGCCTCCGACCTGCTGGACTGTTCTGCGGCAACCTTCTGGGTTTCTTTCTTCGGCGCATGTCATCTTGGCTCGGGAACTGCGCTAGTGCCCTCTGAGATCCGTCGTCTGGTTCAGTTCATGCACGGCAAAGATTCGCTCAAACGTACATGCTTCAACTCTTCTGGAAAGTACACGAGTGCTGTCGTCTGCGCGCCATGCAGTGCCGGGAAGTTTTTCTGCTCTGCGGTTACGTTCACATACTGCAAGGGACGACTTTCGGTGCTGCTTTCCCTTGCTGTACCCACCCTGCAACCTCGGACGACGCGTCTTGCTCTCTGCGACGGCCACTCCTAGCCGGTCTCCGACCGCGTCGGCTACCTTCAGTGACTAAGAGTGCTCATTAACAGCGCGATCTACCCATTGCTCAATTCCCTACCCTCTTTTCTCTGAAAGGCATGTTTCGTGAACTGTACCGGTTGGTCCGCTGAAAATGAAGCATATCGCGATTTTCTGCAATTCCGTGAAGTCGGCCCCTGGTTCTCGCCTATAATCTTTGCACTAAACCCGCCTCCCGGTCCGCTTGTTGGTGCAAGATCCTTTGTGCCAGCGAACCCGGACCGTGCGCAACGCGGATGACGTGCATTGCAAAGTGCAGTGGCCTGAGCATCGGAAGTGCTGGCCCGACACATGTTCGAACTTCGGAGCTATGCGCGCTAGCCACATTTCGAGTCAGTGCTATGTTAAACTTGCGTTGCGACATACCCTGCTTAAAAACACAGCTGTTTTTGTCGATCCACTGCTCGGCTCAGGATCGGGATGGGCTAGTCTCCGACCAGGCGGAAGCAGGGAGCCCAATGAGCGCTGGCATGCGTTGACCGCTGTGCACGCAGGGGAGTCTCCATACGCGCTCGCTAAAACAGAGTACGTGCCAGGATGTCATCAGAATTTTGTGCACATCGTCTCGGAGACTGGTACGTGTGATGACCCAAGGGACCTGTGCCGGAATCTCTTAGCGCTCGTACATTGTGGGCATGTAGTTGTACAGGAACTTGAAAATCCGATTGGACATTTGTTTTTGCTGCAGATACAACTGCATACCCTCTGCCGAATGAGCACTCTTTGCTGTCCTTGTTTAGCAACGAAAATGGACGCGAGCTCGCGTGAACCCCCGCACCGCTTGACGAATGACTCCACGGGGCAACGCATACGCACCGCGTGCTCCAAGTCCGAACTCAGCAGACCGTTGAGTAAACGCAGAAGCGCGGTCATCGCTCGGGGCCCCAGCCTTGGTGAGCTCACCCAATGAAAACGCGGCTGCTATTCGAGGCTGAGCTGATTGAGCGTGCATACACCAGAGTGCGCGACGCGCTAGCCCCGCAGTTGCTCATGAATGCTTCGGTAGACGTACGGAATGACGAGCTTTGCTACGAGGACAGCGATTTGATGCTTTGGCGTGGCATGCAGCAGTGAGAGCGAAGAATATGTATTACACAGGGCTCGTAACAATATCTAAGGTGTTAAACACATCACAAAAAAGAAGGCATATAAGCGCCATATGATAGTACAACAAACGACGAAGTGAAAGAGAGGAAGAGAAAAGAAGGAGAAAGAGCGTATGAGAACGTGCGGATCGAAAAGCTCTACCAGCTGTGAACACGTAGAAAGTCAGTACGGGCCGGCGGCGTGCAAAGAGCGGACAAAACGTACTCGTAGGCCTCGGCGTGGAGGAAGGCCTCCTGGCACTTGCTGTACCCATCCGCGATGTCGAGCTGGCAGTGCGCGACGGCGTTGCGCACGTCGTACACAAACGGATTGGGCCCGCACGCTGTTCGAGACACAAACAAGGAGGTCAGCCATGTGGCACGCGCACAGCGCAGCGACGGGCGAGACGTACCTGCGAACGCAACGCGCCCGCCGAGCGGCGATGCGCACACCTCTCGGACCACCGCGGTCAAGTCAGGGCGGCCGGCGTATGTGGTGGGCGTGATCGGCGGCGGGGGAGGGGGTGTAGACGGGTTCGAGGACGCCTCGCCGTCGACCTTCTTCACGATCACGGTGCCCGGCGCGATGGTCGGCGCGTTGCTGCCGATGGACTCGAGATCGGCGTCCTCGGAAGTGACGTGAATGCTTATTACGAGCCGCGCGCCCGCCTCCTGGGCAAGCTGCATCGCCTCGGCGAGGATGGGCTCGAGCCAGAGGCGTGTTCCTGTAGAGAGGGGGGCACTTAGCACGCGGAACGACGCGTAGGACACGTAGCAGATACACACCAGGGTGGCGGAAGGCAACGACAAAGGTGACGTCCTTGCACTTGCTGCCAGTCTTGAATCCACGCGCGAGGTCCAGGAGCAGCGAGACCGTGAACGTAGCACCTGCAGAAAAACATGGATCAGCTCAGGGCGCGGATGGGTCTCGGAGATATGACGCACCACTACCGCCCGCGAGGAGGCACACGCGATCGTATCCACGCAGCGACACAGGGATTCCGCCGTACGGCCCGTCAAGGAGCACACGTCCGCGCGGCTTGTCCAGTGCCATGTTTTGGAGCGCCTTCGTAATGCCCCCACGGACGCGGAGAACGATCTCGACGTTGTTTATTCCGTTTTGCACGTTGCAGTCGTTGGAGATCGTGAACGGGTGCGTGCTGAACGGGTGCAAGTACTTGCTTGACAGGAAGCGCAGGAACACGTGCTGGCCTGACGACCAGCGGAATCGTGGCCCGGCCTCGATCGTGAGCCTGACCATGCTGGGGTCCGAGAGTTGCTCAAGCGTGTACGGGATACCGGTGAACTTGCTGTGGTAAAGCGTACGGAAGACCTGCATGAACCACGTGGTGGTGTAGATAGCCATTGTAGCCCAGAAGTAGTCCCTGCCCTGGCGTAAGACGTGCCAATGTAGACTAACGAAAGTCGACGTACCAAGATGTAAGACGGAAGTCGCAGTGGATGAAGAGCGCAACCATGAAAATAGTTGCAGCGCTGTACCATCGTCAGTAGGCAAATCGCTCACTCGGGCGTGGAGGACGCACCAGAAGTGCAGCTTCTTGAAAATCTCGTAGTGCCAGTTTCTGATAAATCCCCATGACATAAAGATAAGCCAAGTCTAGGATGATATAACTTGTCAAATGACAGCAACGTTGTAAATCAGAGTCGATCTTACCTGGGGAACCAACGCCGCTATTCCGGACCAGTACCAAGGAGTGGTGTTGTACTTGTGAACCATGTCTCCTGCGTGAATGTTGAACCGGATGAAAGGAAAAGTGTGCAACAACGAAGTGATATCTGGAAATAAAGATTGAGGAATTCTTTCATGGTTAAGAAGAGATATTGATCTTACACATGAACAGGGCTGTCCAGCGGTGGTAGACCTGGAGCCTCTCGTGCGATACGCCGGTAAGCATACCGACGTAGTTAACCTTGGTCGAGAAAGCGCTGTAAAATGCCACACTCAGACGATGTCAGAAGAACAAGAGTGAGTAAGAGGCGTACATCATGAACGGCATGATAGCAATAGAGATCCAGCCACAGCGGGTCGCAAGGGGAGGACTGCTTCCCATCTGGGAGTTTGGCCAGTAGTACGGGCGAACGGCGAGAGCGAATGCTTTCAAAAATGAACATTTAGTCCGGGACTCAAGGGAAAATGGGGAGAAATGTGGCGCACCCATGACGAAGGTGAAAATACCGGCAACACCAAGAACAGAGGCCGTTGGCGGAGCATAGTAGCACAGGGGCTTGAAGCGGACTTGCATGGAGGTGAAGTAGCGGAAGGCGGCCGTGAACCTGTCCAGGACACCCGCCTGGCGGGGTGCGGAGCTCTTCCTGCACAGGCTTATGAGTTGCCGACATCGCAAGAAATAAAGAAAGATACCAACCTGCGCGAATTGAACCGGTAGCGGATAAGGAAGAGGAAGTATAGCACCATCATGGCGCCGATGCCGGCGCAGAAGAACTCGACGGTAGTATGGCCGTAGCTCCAATCGGCTCTGTACCACTGGATGTAATGTCGTCAATTTAGTGGACCAGTCGTCGAAGCTGAAAGTACACCACATACGTCGTGCCATTTCATGGTGAGCATCTTGATCTGCCATGGAGTCATCAGGGAGTAGTCATATCCCGTAGGCACTCGAGACGAGTGGAAGGTGACAGGGTGCAGCAACCAGATCTTGGCCATGGCGGCGAGTGTTCGCGGTGGGCCCGTAGGATGTGAGAGGGGGTGAAGTCTCGCAGTGGAGGTTGGCCGACGAAAGACAAAGGCGGGCAGCCGAGGGGTCTAAGTATGTTTTCCTTCCAGGCGCGCTGACCCGACGCGCGGGGGCGGACAAACCGGAGTAGCACATAGCACGCCAAGGAGGGTAACAGGACCGCGACATCGGCGTGATGCGTTACTCCGTCGTGTCCTGAGACGTGCCTTAGGTCGTGCCTTGAGATCGCCCGAGCTCGTTGAAATATTCATCCAACGACAGGGCATGCCAAGTCGGAGGAGCAAACGCTTCTCCCTGGTTTGTTTGTCCAAGCGGCCCTTGTGGACACCCTGCTGTGATGCGCTGTCATTCAAGGCGTGTAAAGCGGGTGAGATCTATGTGCTTGCTTACCCCAAGAATCGCTTTCTCTTGCAAGTCACTACGGACCCTACAAACATGGCCGGCAGCGGCTTGGTGGCTCAACTCGACGATGCTGTTCAAGACGATGACGCCAGGGTCGTTCGTGTCCGGGTCCATGTCAATAGACGTGATCGTGATGAAGAACAATCTGCCCTTTACTCCCGGCGATGCGCTCGCAGTTGACATCGTCGCCCTGTCGTCAGGCAGTGCAGTTTTCGGTGCTCGCATCATGAGCTTCCTCATCTCCATTTTCATCCGCTGTCTCCGCGCTTCCCGCAGAGGCCTAGAGACGCGTTCCATTGCCTGGTATAGCGTTCTTCTTTCCACAGACTTCGCGTACTGCTAAGGTATAGGCTGTGCAGCGTGCATCGCTTTGGCTCTAAGCTGCGCTGATAGTGAGCACTCGATCCGCCGGACCAGCGTGACCAGCATCGTGAGGGAAAACGGACCTCCCGACATCACTGGTATGTCTTCCGACAGCACCGGGAAACAAGGGAGTACTCTAGCTCGGCCAAGGCTACTTGGCCGGCGCCGAGAAAACATTGCGATATGTTTTCACGTATGTCGTGATGTGCGTTCCACCTCTCCACCGGTACGACCGCTCGAACTCTTGGATTTATTGGCATGCGAGCTATCCAACGCTAGCAATATTATCGCTGTCGTTACGGTAGTACTATGGTGCGCGAGATTGCGTTCGGGAAACTGAACCAAGTGCAAGCCATGGTCGCAGCCTCCGAGACTAGCGTTTCTTCTGAGCGGCAATTATTTGTGACTATTACTGTTCGGTAGGATTCGCTAGCGCGCTTACTGTGGTCCTGATCGTCGTGGACCGCTCTCTCGACGTTGTCGATGACGGCGGCGGGGAAGAAGAAGATGGGGACGTCGGACCCCAGACAGCCCGGCGACGACGGCTGACGTAGCCCCCATCAAGACAGAGGCGCCCTCTGAGATTTGCGTTTGCCCTCTTACCACCACTTGATCAGATATAGGACATGAGTACTGCTTGCCATGGCCCCTTGTCTGCGACCCGTCCACTCACTCTACGTGAACGATGCAGCCAGACTCAGAAACACCGCCTCCAGGCGCTGCGGAGCCCAAGGAGAACTCAGTCACGACACAGTCCAATGTCCCGACGTTGACCGACCAGACCGTCTACCTGCCCAAGAGGAAAATTATTTCGGTCTGTCCACATCGCCTTATCCCCCTTTTGTGTCCGGTACGATGATTGTCATCTTGACAGGTATTTCTGGCATGCGCATCCGTTAGCGTAACGGGACTCCTGGACGAAACGATGGTCGCGGTCGCGCTGCCCATAATGAGCTCCCACTTCAATGCTGGCAGTCAGATAAGCTGGGTCGCGAATGCATTCTTTGTGTGCGTTTGAAATTATCACTTCTCTGCGTGCCCTAATTGCGAACACTCTCTAGAACGAGCACGAGCTTCCAGCTCATCTACGGCCGCCTCAGTGACATTTGGGCAAGGAAATCCGTCCTCCTAGTCTTGATGTTCATCTTCTTCGTCGGGAATGTCGCGTCCAGCGTTTCGCGAACATTTATCGAGCTCCTCGTGTTTCGTGCGGTGAGTGCTACTTCCTTGTTTGCTCGAGCTTTGAAGCTCACTTTGCCAATGAGATTGCGGGCGTGGGCGGCGGCGGTCTGCCAACCATTGCACAAGTCATCGTCTCTGACGTCGTCTCCCTCCGCGAACGCGGGAAGTATCAAGGCATTCTGGTGCGCCGATCCCTACGATCGTCTCCTTGCCGAAATAACGAGTATGACAGGGGGTATCAGTTGCTCTGGCGAATGGTATAGGGCCAGTCATCGGCGGCGCATTCGCGTCTCATGTAACATGGTAGGATTGAATATTACTAAGACATTCTGGGCTTCGCTTACGTAGCGGCTGTGTTAGGCGGTGGATATTCTGGCTTACCCTGCCTATGACAATCTTCTCAGCCTTCATGGTCTGTTTCTTCATGCCACTAAAACCTGTCGAAGGCGACTGGAGAATGTACGTCCTGTTCATCTTACTATTGCGATCCAATACTGACGCAAGCGACTCTACAGGAAGGTCAAAAGGGTTGACTGGCTTGGGGTGGGCTTGATTCTGGCGTCCTCTACGTTAATTGTGGTACGTTTCTGGTTGTATGTGCTTTGCTACTACTGCATGCTCAACCTCTCGCACCATGACATAGCTCTCGTTGACTTGGGCCGGTGCCGAATATGCCTGGGACAGTGCACATGTTCTCGTTACTTTGATATTGGGCATCTTTATAGGAATCGGCTTCGTCCTATGGGAGTGGAAAGGACCACAGTTCCCTCTTCTTCCTCGTATGTCCTGCAACTTGACATATTCTCTGAATCTCGCTCATGTCATCCATGTCGTAGTTCACATATTCAAGAGCAGCATCGTTGTCGGCGCGGCGATCACACAGTTCATTAACGGCTTCCTGACGATGGTCCAAGTCTTCTATCTGCCGACATTCTATCAAATGGCGTACGGGTACTCGGCGACCAGGAGCGGTGCCATGTTGTTGCCGCTTACCGTCGTACAGAGTAAGCCCACTGTGTATTCGACCATGCTCCTCACGCTCATGCCAGCTGGTTGTGCCGTCCAGCTTTCACATCCACCTTCTCGGGGCTCATCATAACATGGACGGGACGATACAGGGTAGGTGTCGCTTTCGCATACGTTCTTATTACTTTGATTTTACACTCAGCGGATAGGAAATGATTCTGATTGGCTGGGCAATATGGGCCGTCGGTCTTGGGCTGCTAGCCACGCTGAAGGCCGATTCGCCCGTCTCACGGCAGATAGGGTACTCCATCCTCACTGGCTTCGGCGTCGGACAAACATTCCAGCCGTAGGTATCACGTCTTTTGCGTCTTGCCTCTATTCAGGCTATTTAAAGGTCCCTCATCGCTGTTCAAGGCGCTTTGGAGAGGAAGGACATGGCTGTCGTGACCGCCATGCGAAGGTAGAGCACCAAATCTTGCCGTAGTCACCTTGGCGCTCACGAGCCGTCCAGCTTTGCTCGCAACCTCGGTGGTACAATCGGACTGGCCATTGCAGGCACCATGATGTACGTCGCGCCCCTGCGATCGATCTGTTCGTTCACCAAATCCCCTTCCCCCTCAGCAACAACGTGCTCTCCTCGCGCCTCCATGCCCTCCCCAGCTCTATCATATCACCTGAACAGCTGCGGGCCATCGTCAACAACCCTGTCGAGACGGTTTACAGCCTGTCGGACCCACTTCGTGCCGACGTGATCGATGGGTACCGCCAGGGCTTCCGCGACGTCTTCATCGTGCTCGCGTCCCTTGCAGCGTTCTCCTTTTTTGTTGCCGCGGCGCTGCTGAAACACAGGAAGCTCGACCGGGACGATGACAAAGAGCTCAAGGAACAGGGTAAGCAGTTCGTGCAAGAGCTGCAGGCGGCAAAGGCGAGACGCAAGCACGCCGGCGAGCAACAGTCTGAGAGCCCTGGGACGGTGCCGGAGAAGGAGTCGGCAGGCACGTCGGAGACCGAGGGTGCCAGTGCGGAGAAGCCTTGACAGGGTCGTCGAATAGCACAATAATAGCGGGCCTAGGTTCTTCTGGCGCAAAGCGCTCGAGTGGGTCATTGCAGTGCTTAAACGTTGGTGATTTACTCGGTGCTACGTTAATGAATAACATCGTCATCGCTGGTGTGCCTGGATGACAGAAGCATATGCACAATCTGCAAACTCGACAGGCTACAACGGCGCGCGCTTCTGCAGAAGCAGCGGGGAAAGTGCGCCGATCTCTGGACGGAACCTACAGGAGAGGACCCCGCCCATTCCTGGCCCCGATCAGGATCGACGATACGGAGAGACCAGCAGGACCTCGGGTCTACGCGCCAGGACACCGTGGACGCGCCGCATCGGCATTCGGAAGAACGTTTGTTTCTGCTTCGCTTATGGCAAACATCGACTCGCGTATTCTCCACGGCCATAATGAGGCTTCGATTTGGGTGTGCGTCCAGCATTGAAAAGACACATGCGCCGACGAGCAGAGCACAGCTGCAGCCCCCCAGCCCGAACGAACAATGCCTGTCGACCACGAGCTCAACGTCTTCTCTGGCGAGGAAGCCCTCCGTGCGTTCTACGATCCTGATGCCCAAGCTCCTGTGCCCGTATGTGTCCCCCATCTCGCTGCCAGCAAGTAAGCTAACGTCGCGTCTGTGCGCTAGCTCGTCGAGCTGCCAGAGCGGCTGAACCCTCTGCGCAAAGGCATGTCCCCTTCACTCTTGAACGACGCGCCACTGCTGACCCCGCGGCGCCACACGCAGATGGCGTCCGCATCTACGCCAAGCTCCTCAGCCATCTGCCTGCGACGAACGTCAAGTCACTCCCTGCACTCAACATGCTCCTACGCGGCTATGAGAAGGGCAAGATCACTGAGGACACGCACACCATCGTCGAGTACTCGTCCGGGAGTACGGTCATCTCCCTCGGCATCCTGGCACACATCATGGGTATTCCCAATGTTAAAGCTTATCTGTCGAACAAGACATCTCCCACCAAACTAGATCTCCTGCGGTTCTTTGTAAGTCGCTTCTGCCGGGTTATCTTGCGTTTGTACTCATTGGAATGGTAGGGCCTCGACTTGTAGGCGCTCCTATTGAATATTGTATCAGGCATTTCTCACAACTTGCTCAACCTAGAACTGTATTCGGAGGTCACGGGCAACCAGAACCCAACGATTCAAATGGCGGTATATATCTCGCGACCCAGCATGGTCAACAGGAAGGATTCTATAACCCAGACCAATATTCTAACCCCGAAGTAAGTGCCGCTGTCATTGAGCCTTTATTTGCCCTTATGTCCAATATATGACAGAATTACGAGGCGCATATGCGCTGGACTGGTCCTCAAATCCACAAGCAGCTACCCGAGATCAAGGTCTTCGCAGCATCTATCGGCACCTCTGGCACCATGACAGGAACAGGGCTGTATCTCAAGAGTGCAAAACCTTCATGCTTACGAGTTGGGTAAGCGACGGTGTGTCTCTTCCCCCTGCTTGCCTTATCGATGCGTCCTTTAGTGTCTGCACGGCTCCAGACGACCGCGTGCCAGGCCCGCGATCCTACAGTCTCCTCGCCCCTGTCGAGTTCCCCTGGCGAGAATCCGTGAATGCAGTGGAGGAAATTGCGTCCCCCGAGTCGTTCGAGAAGAGCTTGGAACTCTGCCGTAACGGCCTGCTGGTCGGGCCTAGCTCCGGCTTGGCGCTCTTGGGCTTGTTGAAGCATCTCGGAAAGCTCAAGGAGAAGGGCGAGCTGGACCAGCTGAGGAACGAGGATACTGGAGAGATTCCTTGTATGTGCCTGTCTGTTTCACGAGATACCTAGACTAACCTGTCGTTGTAGGCGTCTTTATCTGCTGCGACCAGCCATTCCAGTACATCAGCGATTATTACACGAAGCTCGGCCCAGAGCATTTCATTCCAATTAAAAACGAGCTTCTCCTCGGCGTTGATCCATACCCGTGCGTCGCTATACATTACTACCCCTCTTGCACATTTGCTGATGGTTTTCCATAGATACAACGTCGACTGGGAATTCCCGCCACGTATTGTCTGTGACCTCCTGCAGGGAAAGACAGTAATACTCCCGCCTACGCTCTCCACTACATCCTCCGGAATGGCGAACACGCTCCAGATCGAGCCATCCCGCATGGTCGTCCTCGACCTCCGCGACGCCGCCGACTTCGCCACGTCCCACATCCCCGGCTCCGTCAACCTCGACGTCGGTGCGCGCTCTCTGCCAAACCCGTACCAGGACCCGCCGACGATGGTGCAGCAGTTCGGGCTGCTGGACGCGCGGCTGGCGGCGGCGGACGCGCAGTTTGGCGCGTCGCTGGCAGGCAAGGTCGTCTTCACGCTGTCGTACAAGGGGCACGTGGGCCGGCTTGCAATGTCGATTTTGCGGAACCGGAAGGTGCAGGCGCACTGTGTCATGGGTGGCTCAGACGCTTGGATGCAGCAAGGATTTTGGGAGAGTTGTGCGCCTGCGCATGTGTAGGCAGACGCCGGCTACTCTCTTCGTTCATCACCATTCGTGTATTATTATTATTTTGGCAAAAGTAAGAAAGGGATTCGATTCACGCCCTCGTAACAAGCTTGTCTCCTGCAAGTCGAGGGCTACAAGCCACAACCTTACTGTTAGTACCTACTGCGCGCGCTGAGCCAGGCGCATCAGTGATGGGGACATCGGTGATCAATGATCTACGGACGCGGGGGCTTGCATGACAACTCTCTTTTGCAGACCACTGCTTGTGCTCATTCCATCCCCCCACGTCTTTTCTGTTTGCAGTTGGTATTGATGCTGACATCGTCAAAACGATTTGGGTTACGACGAGGAATGAATCGGACGCGAAATGCAACAAACTTGGTACGCAGGCCACACGCCTTGTCTCACCAATGCGCGCTGATCACTGGATCTCACTCAAGACGCCTGGTGAGACCCTCTCTGGCTGTTTCGACGAGGAATGCGGTGAGGATGGCCGAGAACAGACCAGCCTGTCCGGTCAAGCGAGGTAGGTTAACCCATAACGCACGCAGCAACGACACCACTCACACACCTTGACCTCGGACCACCACCATCTCCCGTTAGACGCCCGCACCGTCTGGCCGCTCTCCAACTCCTCTGCGCGCACCGCCCCATCCCCCTCTCCCAAAATCGCCTCCACCGAGGTCCCAAGACTTTGCGGCTCGCTACGCGGCCCGGGTCTTGTGGATACCGACGCTGCAAGACCACCCCGAGCTGGAGGGGCCAACGCAGCGTCCCATGCTGTGCCCTCCAGGCACCCCCGCCCTGTGCCATTGCGCACGGGGCACCTGCGTGCGGATTCCCGCCTGTCGTCCTGCGCGAGCGGGCTGACAGGTACTTGGTTCCCCCTCTCGACGTCGAGTGGGCGGGTATTTGTGTGGCCGCCCAGCGCGGCCACTGAGGATCGGGAGGTGCCACTCCGCACACGCGGCAAGGGGCACGCTTTCGGTGTGGGCCTTTGTCAGGTTCGTTGGGGGCCCCGTTTAGGCTGTCCCTTTTTGTGCAATACACCCTTTGTAACCCTCTTTGTCGCGTGTGGGCCTCTGGCCACCTGTGTGACAGATGGTATAAAGCTGACCACGTCGCGACACCAGGGTCCCCTCCAGTACCACCAGCACCTCCTACTGGACTTCGACTCTGCCTACATGTCATCCCATCCCACGCCCGATGCTGCCCTCTCCCAGAGGCTGGACGAGTTCCTCGGCCAGCTCCAAGATATTTCGACCGGCCTGGCGGCGGTCGGCGATCCGCTGCGGCGTTTCGTGGCCTCCACGGCCACTGACCCCATGTCTGCCACTTCTGACTTCTCACGCGCCCTGGGCTCCCTCTTTGCCGCATGGGCCTCTCTCGTTGAGGGCAACAACGGCCAGATGGCCGCCCTCCTCCCCCCCTTTGTCCAAGTCCTCCAAGGGCAGTGTGCGGACGCTGTGAGGCGCATACGCGAGCTTGAGGACCGCCTGGCATCTGCGCACGTCGTGAAGCCCTCCGACGACCCTGCTCTCATGGAACGCCTGAGTGGCCTGGCCGCGAAGGTGTCTTCTCTCAGCGATAGGTATCAGGGAGCGGCCGACAGTTCAACATTGCCTCCCATGGGCCTGCATAGCTCGATTCACGCCCCTGCTCAGCTCGCTCCCTTGCAGGGCCGCGGGAAGAAGCGGCCTGCAATCTTCCCGGCTGAACCAGCCCCCAACCAAGAGCCTCCAGCGAAGCGGCAGGCTCTCGACCTGTATGCCATCCCGCGCGATTGGGAGTGGGGCAGGATCGCTGCAATTAGCCCTCTAATGGATGCGTGCCGTGGTCGCATGCCGCCGGAGTCAGCCCTGGCTCTTACCAAGGCCTTCGAGTTCCGCCCTCGGCGAGATGGCACTGCTCAAGGGTCGCCTGCTCCGGGCACCTATGCGGCGGTTGCGGGTGCCCCGCCACACTCGACGCCACCGCCTGTGGCCCTGACTTCTACCTCGTCTGCGCCCGCTAAGGCTGCACCGGCCCCGCCCAAACCCAAGCCGAAGGCCCCGGTTGTTCACGTCGCGGCTCCTCGGGAACCTACAAAAATCCTGCGCGTAGTCTTCTCCACAGCCGTTACAAACCTGGCTCACCGGCGCGACGAAGCTGACGTCCGCGCGTGGGTGCGCGAAAGGCTCCAGCGTATTGGCGAGGAGCCTAACGAAGTCGTGGGGCTCCACTGGCACGAAGGTGGCGTCCATGCAGACATCCGGTTCCAGGCACGCCCAACGGTGGCTACACGCGACTCTGTGAATGATGGCGCGGACTGGCTCGCCAACGCTATGGGGACAGCGCGCTCGGCCACTGTCGACTTCTACACACCTGTTACACGCATCGCGGTGAAGGCCCTCCGCACCCGCCGTCCAGGTACCGACCTTGAACTAGCGTCGGAGGACATAATCTCTGCCATCGCGCAAGAGAATGCCTGGGTCGCTGGGCAGCTGCTGCAGCACAACCAGTCACCCCGACCCTTCTGGATGGACGCAACGGGCGGTTCTGGCACATTCGTCTTCGCTGCCTACGACAATCGTGACGGCACAGTCAGCGAGGGCTGGTGCAAGAAGCGCCTCCGAGTCTTCGGCGTTGAGCACAGCATCCAGCGCCATGACACCACACCGCGGGTCCCACTCTGCGACCGGTGCTGGCACTGGGAGCACACCGGGGGGTCCTGCAGGGCCGCGAAGCTTTTCTGCTCGAGGTGCTCACTGCCTCATGTCGATGTTGATCACGCGAGGTTCTGTGTTCACCCGGACTGCCAGCAGGCGCGCCTCGACACTCTGGTGGTGCGCACCTCTTGCTCTCACGTGTACTGTGCCAGCTGTGATAGCGTCGACCATGCCCCGTCGTCTCGGGAGTGCCCTTACAGCCGCCGTGCTGGCGATCGGGACGCGAAGAAATGGTTCTCTCGGCACCCCGCGGCGTTCTCCGCGCAGGACATGCGTCAGCGCGGGAAGATGTATGACGGCGAAGTGGCTGTCGAGACCGAGAAACAGCATCGACAGGCCCAGGCTGGTGTGCCAGAGCCTGACGACGATATGTCTTCCTAAGTAGTCTGGAACTCTTGTATAATTAATGAGTAATACACCTGTTCAGCCCTCTCCTGTGTTGTCTCGTGTGCCGACCGACAGTGGTTCGTCGCATGGGGCTCCGGTGGACTCCGACTCGGGCTTTGCGCCTGAGCTGCCACCTCCTCTTGACATTGATGAGCTCCGCCGTGCTGCGGGTCAACGTGCATCCCACTCTGGTGCAGCGCCGCCTGCCGGGGCGGTAGGCAACGAGGGACGGGCTGGTACTGGCCCTGCACAGGGTAGCAGCTCGGGGCGGCCCATGCGATGTATATCAGCCAATGTTCAGAAGAGTGCCCTCAATCTTGGGTGTTTACTCAATAATAACCGCGATGCTGATATCGTGCTTGTCCAGGAGCCCTTCAAGGGCCACATCAAGCTGGTGGCGTCGTCAACGGATCCGGACGGCGAGTCCTATTTCCATACCACTGCCCACCGCGATTTCATATGTTTGGGGTACTCTGATACCACAAGGGTTCTAGTATATGTTCACACGCGGTGGCGCGGGGCAAGCCCGCAGCTAAGACTATCCGCAGTTCGCCACGATGACGCCCTGTGCGTCACTATGCGCGTGGAAGGGAAGGACATGACATTTCTGAACATCTACAACGACTGCAGAACATTTGCTGCAGTAGATTACTTGCTTGACCGAGCGGACGTGCTGCCTACCATTGCTTTTATGGCGGGGGACTTCAATCTGCGCGACCCGCAGTGGGACTCTGGCCAGCGCCGTCCGGGTGCCGCCTCACGCCATCTTGCCCAACGGGAGCGCCTGCAGGAGCTTGCACAGGAACAGCTTGGTCTCACCCTTGTGAATGACCCAGAGGGGCCTCCAACGTGGCTCACCAGGAAGCTGTCTGAGAGCGACGGCGTCCTGGACCTGGTGTGGGTTGATCCACAGCTGGGAACTGTGGATGGGCTCTGTGTTGACGATCTGGGCCGCGGGGCTAGTGATCACGCAGTGCTGCGATGGACCCTCCCGGTGCAGGGCGAGCCGACTGTTACTGCCAATGTCAAACGCGGCTCGGCTGAAGGGGCGGCGTATGTGAGGCGGTGCCGCTCGCTTGTCAATGCGCTGCCGCTTGAGTACAACTCACGCGACCAGGTCGAGACTATTGGCAACTGGCTCGGACACCGGCTTGATGATGCCTGGGCTGAGTTTGCGACCACGCCCAATGTCACTCGGCGATCCAAATCCTGGTGGAGCGCGGAATGCAGCGCGATCGTTAATGAGGTGCGAACACTGCGGACGATGCGCAAGGAGCTTGTCGTGCAGCGCAAGCGGTGGCAGGCTCGGGTGGTGCATGCTGGGCAGAACTTTGACATGGATTGGCATCGCGAGGTGCTGCAACTCACCAGAGAGGTTGCTGCTGTCACAAGGCGCATCGACGAGGCAAATAAGCGCATGCGGGGGGCTGTGCGGCGTGCAAAGAGGGCCCACTTCAATGGCCTGATTGCCAAGACTGACCCATCGAGGATCTGGGACTTAGTTGGCTGGACCAAGCCCCGCCGAATGCCCACAACCACAGGGCTTGTAGACCAAGCGGGCGTACCGGTCGAAGAGCCAGAGCGACTTGCTGGGGTGTTCCAGGAGCAATTCACGCCTGCGAGCCCCGCCCGGTGGATCCGTCAATCCTGGATGAGATGCCGCAGCGTGAAGAACGCACCTTTCCCCCGTTCTCCACGTACGAGCTACGTGAGGCCATTCGCGACACCAGCAACTTTTCTGCACCTGGGCCCGATCATGTTAGCTGGTTCTGGCTGAAGCGCATTGTGAAGGACCAGTCCGCGTGTACCTGCACTGAGAATGGCCATGATCACCTTGACACCGAAGTGTGGGTCCTGGCTTTCTATAATGCCTGCATCCAGTACGGGATTCACCCCACCATATTCAAGCGTTCACGCACAGTCGTTCTCCCCAAGCCTAACAAACCTGACTACTCCAAGGCCAAGGCGTACCGCCCAATTGTGCTGCTCAACTGCTTGGGAAAGCTCCTTGAGAAGATGATCGCGTGCAGAATGCAGTTCGACTCACAAAAGTTTGGCATCATGCACCCGTGCCAGTTCGGCGGGGCCATGCAGCACAGTACGCAGGATGCCGGGATCCAGCTGGTTCACAACATTCAGCAGGCCTGGAAGCGGGGCGTGGACTCGACTGCCCTGCTGCTCGATGTCTCGCAGTTCTTCCCATCCATCCACCATGGCATGATGGCTGCGATCCTGCGGAAGCAAGGCTTCCACAGCAGTCTGTGCACGTACTTCGAGGATTATCTCATTGCTCGCCAGACTGAGTTTGTCTTCAATGGTCATCAGTCCGACCCGACAGACTTCTCGATAGGTGTGGGCCAGGGGTCTGCGCTCTCCCCGGTCTTGACAGGCCTCTATGTTTCCCCGGTGCTGCACTTGGTCATGCCCGTTGACACTGTGCTCGAGGGCAATGCTACGGTGGAGTTCTATGTGGACGACGGCCTGATCCACGTTGCAGGGAAGCTTGCCCCGCAGCACGACCGCTACGACGGCCTGATCTACAATAACTGGCTGATCAAGGGCGTCTTCGGGTCGATTGTGACGCACCTTGGGCGGCTGGGCCTGGGGGTCGAGCTTGACAAGCTAGAGCTTATGCACTTTCGGAGGGCACGGGAGCAGGACTGGAGTGAGAGCGAGCTGCTCGGGCCGAAGCTGAGGCTCCACATTGATGGGCAGCTGCACACTGTTCAGCCTAAGCGTATTATGAGGTACCTTGGTTTCTACCTGGATCCGAAGCTCTCCTTTCGGGAGCACGTTCGGCTCTACACCACGAGGGCGTCCAGCACCATCAGCGCATTGCAGATGCTGGGGAACTCGAACCGTGGACTTACCCCGGTGGACAAGCGTCGCCTGTACATCTCGAATGTTCTCCCGATCCTCACATACGGCGCCCAGCTATGGTGGCACCCGGAGTGGAAGGGCAAAGTCTGGATTCAGAAGTCGCTGCAACGCGCGCAGAACCGTGCTGCCCGGTGGATCACTGGCGGCTTCCGCACGACTCCAGCCGGGGCCCTCGAGATGGCCGCCGGGTTGTTCCCTGTGCGACAGCATGTGGACAAACTTGTGAAGAAGGCGTGCCTGCGTGCCCGCACCCTCCATGATGGCCATCCCACGCGGGCGCAGCTCCTCCACCCATCGTGGCGGAAGGGGCCGCAGAACATTCTGGCCCCGATGCCTCTGTGTGGCCAGCCCTCGCGGGATGGGGTCACTCCCATGTCTCACGTCGATCGGCTGGGCCGGGCTTGTACCGAGGAGTTCGCGGTCCTCGACGACGAATGTCGCCCCGGCACCCGTGTTAAAGATGTATTTGACGACCAGGTGACATTTCACATGGATGTCGTGGACGGCGAAGCGGCCCCTGTAAAGGCGAAGGGCGACGAGCTCAAGCGATGGCTTCGCGAGCGGTTCGTCCCCATGGTCGATCGCGTTGAGCGTGACCCGGCGTGTGCGCTAGTCTTCACGGATGGCTCCCAGAAGAGGGGAGAGCACATACCGGGTGGCGTTGCTGCGGGCGCGGGCTGGGTCGTTAAGCACTCGGGTGGCGTCCGGCGGGGGCATTTTGGGTGTGGAAAGGCCACTCCCTACGACGCCGAAATGGCTGCGTTAGCGCGGGGCCTGAACGAGGTCGTACGGGACTTGCCCGGTAGCGTGACTGACATCCACGTATTCGCAGATAACCGGGCGGCGCTCTTGTCCATCCTGGCTGCGGGGCGAGGGCCTGCACAAGGGCTGTCCGTTGCGGCCTGCCAGTCGGTCCGTCCCTGGCTGACTGCGTCGCCCGCGCATCACGTCCATGTGTGGTGGTGCCCTGGTCACAGGGGGGTGTATTGGAATGGTGTGGTCGACAAGGCCGCCGGTCTTGGGGCGGCTGAGCCGTCGGACGAGGTGTCCTTCGCCTATGCGCGGCAGTGCATCACTGCCGATGCCTATAAGGCGTGGCGGGCAGATATGCACCGCCTGCCCTACCGTGGGCGCAACAACTTGATGCAGGTGTCTGACTTCGAGCGCTGTAAGCACACTTCGGCCAACTGGTTCCTGCGGACGGCAGGACGCAGCACCACGTACATGGCGCGGCTGATTCGGTTCGCGAGCGGGCACTTTCCGCACGGTGCGTTCCGCGAACGTTTCAACTTCGAGGGGAACCGGCGGTGCTGGTGCGGGGCGGATGTCGAAACTCGCGACCACATTTGGTTTGACTGCGACTTGTGGATCAAGAAGCACAAGCCCCCGGACGCCGAGATCGAGCGTATGCGTCGGGGCGAGCGCGGTGTCCATGCGGCCTTGGATCTCCTCCCCCCTACGCCGCCAGGCATGAGTCTGCTGGAGCACTTCCTGCAGGACTGGCGAGAGACACCGATCGCTCTCGACGACGTCGCGGAATTCCTGCGCCTCAACCCGATCGTGGGCACCTTCACCTGGCTGGAGCTGGTCGACCAGGCCTTGGGGGATCGGGCGCGCGGCGAGGACGACTCCCTGGCGCTCCTCAAGGTCGACCTGCACACGGTGCGGCGCAAGGCCGCGTATGAGGCATGGTATGCTGACCACCCTAAGGGGGACCTCACCGAGTTTGTTCAGTCGTACGCCCTAGTGGCGACTCACGCCGTGACTGATGCGTTCGAATTTGACGATGCGGGTGTCGCAGCGCTGCAGGCTGAGTTCGGGCTCGCGGCGGCTAAGGCAAAGAATCGTTGACTTCCCGGAGGCGCCAGGCGGGCAGCTTCACGCCGTCTACCTCGTGCTGGCTCGCGTTCTCTCCCACTTTCCCCTCTCTCTTCTTTTCCTGCTCTGTTTATTCGATTGTGTGTGTCTGTCTCCCCTGGTATGTAATTATTAGGTGCTCATGTGCCCCGTTGTACGCACTCTAAACTCGCGGATTTAAAAAAAAAAAAAAAAAAAAAAAAAACGACACCACTCACAAATACGAGTAGAGTATCAATGTCGTCAGCGTAGTCTTCCATCTCTCCGATGTCATTGGTCATGAGGTGGTCCTCAATCCCGGCCCATATCCCATGCTCCAAGCCGACAACACAGACACAACCAATCAACTCCTCGCCATCAGCCTGGCCACCCAGCTGCGGACTGCTGGGACCGTTGTCACCGATACACTCAACCAGACCCTCACCACGTTCTCTGACACTCTCACTACTCCATTCTCCCCTTCCACTGCATCTCGTTGGATCAACATCCTGTTCTTCCTCAGTCTCATCTTCGGCCTCGCAGCCGCACTGTTCAGTATCCTGGCCAAGCAGTGGATTCGCGAGTACCTCAAGTGGAACTCCCCGCTTGCGCTCCCGCGCGAGAATATCCTTGTCCGTCAGCTGCGCATTGAGGCATGGGAGGACTGGCAAGTCTCCTCGGTTCTCTCATCTATCCCGATTCTCCTCGAGCTTGCTATGGCCTTCTTCCTCGCCGGCGTCGTCATTCTCCTATGGACTCTCGACGATATCGTCGCTCGTATCATCACTGTCTTTGCCTCGCTCTTCCTCGGAGCGTTCGCTACGTTCACAGTGATGCCGATAGTGTCGAAGCGCTGCCCCTATAAGTCGCCAACGGCATGGGCATGTCTCGTGGCGGCGCATATTGTCTCATCCTCTTTCCTCTACGTCTTCCACGGGATCATGTCATTGAACACGATGGGTCATATCACATTTCGATGGAATTACTACTATTGTGACGAGCCCTTTGCGTGGCGTGTTTGGCACGTCCTTGCTTACGCTTTTCGCCCCATCAATTATACCTGGGGTGGACGATGGCCCACCATATCGCGTACGTGGCGAAGTCGGGATCTCGAGATCCCCAGAAGCACGGCAGTTGGGAGACCGGACCTCGTCTTGGCCGCGGAAGGCGAGCTTGCGCGCATTAATGCCACTCTCGGCGGGAGCTCGAGTGGAGCGTCGCAGAATGTGTCCGAAATAAGTCACTACGTCCCTCTCGTCGTCGCGCAGGCGCTTCTGAAGAATATCGCCGAGATCTCTCATCTCTTGCGAGCTCTGGCTTGGGTCAAACGGTTGTCGCAGAGCAGTGAGGTCACAAATTACATTGAGGAATGCGCACAGAGGATTCATTCTGATACACCTTTTCACACTATCGACGATGCGTCTGATTGGTGGCACAGCAGCATTCGAGTGGTGACAGACTGGTGTATTTCTCAGTCTATTGAGAAGGGTACACTGTGCGCGCCAGAGCTGAAGCTGCTTTCCGAACAGTCGACCCATGCCGAAGATAGACCTCAAACCATCTCGACCTTCCGGAAGGCGTTGAACGTCCGCGCTCGTATAGCGGATGCTGCCCACCTCTACATTCCATGCATGTCAGACAAGTTTTTGCTTAAAGACGTTTCTCCTGAGGCCACAGCGCTACCCTCCATTTTCGCACTAGTTCTCAAGGCTGAGTGCGAGTACTTCTCAAATCTTGCCGCGGAAGCATCTTCGGATCAGGAGCTAGTGTGTCAAGCCAGGACGCGGGCACTGGAAGCTTTTGGTCTACGTTGGAAGCTCCCTGTGCAATTGGATGATGCCGAGACATGGAGGAGCTTCTTGGCAGCAACGGGAAGTAATGGTGGCGCGAAGAGGCCCGTGTTGCGAGCGCTCTCGTTGGACATCCTGTCGCTGATTCTAAGAAATGGCCGCCGAGTGCAATGGAATACAGACCATAAAGGGTTAAGTGAGTTGTGCATTTTTGCAGTGTATCAAATACTCAAGCATATTGATAAACTGTTGCCAGCATTCGACTTGGAGGGCGAGACCGAGCCTGCTGATTGGGAGGACATTCTGCGCCATCTCCCCATCGATTCCGACGACAGCGCGATGGGAGACCATATTAACATATTGTTCACTGTTTCGGTCAGGTGGCTTCGGAATCCTTCGTTTTCTGAGATGCCAACTGCTAAGGTCACCGTCGTACTCCAGAGGATGATTAGCGCAGTCAATTTTATCTCAGGATACGACCGACGGCCCGGAAGCATCCGCTCGGACTACGGCTGGGAAGACAAGAACTGGATAGAAGCAGTGCAAAATCAAGTTAATAACTCATCCCCATACGACAATATTTTTCTACAACTTCATGCATCTGAAAGGTCCTACCATAGAGGCATTCTCACCGGTATTGCCAGTGATGGCTTGATCAGGCAATATCTGCACATGTCACTTCGCAATCTGCATGCGCGAGCAGACTGCCAGTGCAAGCTGGCAAGGTGCTCGTGGAAACAGCATTCATGCGGAGGCGACGAAGACAATTCCTTCCTCGGCTGTCCTTTGCTGGACGCGGATATCCCCGGTCTACCCAGCTCTGATGACTACTCATTTCCTGAGATATTTACTACATCCAACATCCCTGTCGCCGTCACACTTTCTGCGTTGCCATCTGACTTCGACCATCGTCCCACTCGTCCAGAAGACACACACCAGTCTACCGAGCTGTCCGTGCCAGCTGATTCAGCTAACCGAACAGACGATAATACGCAAGAGGACCCACCTGAACGAGACAAGCCGGCCTCTGTGGCTGGTCACCCCCTTCATCTCAGCACTCTGCAAGCATGCTCTTCGTCCTCTGCAACAGTAGGACTCTCAGTGGGGCAATGTGAGAGGGCGGCTTCTGGCAGAAGCAGCGCCGGCTTGCACGCATATGATGATCATGGCGTATCCGAAGAAGATGTGGCATATCATGTTGTGTCGAGCCCTGCTCATGGCCCCGGATTCCTATCTGTCGTATCCAACGCCCCATTTGAACCAATGTCATCCACGAAGGCTCAACCTGTGTTGTCTGACTTCAGGCCGGACGAGGAACCTATGGCGCATCGAGAACCACCCAACAGCCTGAGTGATATTCGCGCGGAGTATACCTCTCCTTCCGAAGCTCAAGCAGAGGCGGAGGACCACGCTTCTACAGGCGAGACCGAAGGCAATAGCGGAACAGCGGAGGATAGAGGAAGATGCCCTGGCCTAGACGAGCCGGTTGCGCACGAGCTTGCCAGCAGTGACTCGCCGAATTCTTCCGCGGTGCGTTCGTCTTAAAATTCGTCTTCCTCGCACTGTAATGGCTCACTTGACCAGACCGGCCTATTGCGTCAGGACATTGCCCAACTCAATGCAGACGCATACCAGGAGTACTGCAGAATTCGTCTTCTGATGGCCTCGCCATCGCTCGCAGAAACCGTTTGATAGAAGACCGAGCCGCAGAAGTTCGGTGACAGAACAGCTCTGTCCCATGAGCTGCTGTATCGTTCCACGACGACTGGGGAGTCGGCGGTCAGGCAACAGAGCCATCCGAGTCGGCCTTACGGCAGGGAGCGACGAGCGAGAGCAAGACAGGGTCGAGGCTTGAAAGAGGCGGCGATTTATATACATGCTAGAGCATTTGATGGTTAAATACCTTGACTTGCATTTTTCGTCAAGGAACAAGTTCCTCGGAGCCGTATACGGGTTGATGTACAGGATGCTAAAAGACGCATATATTGCACGAAGTTTACAAATAAGGAAAGACGAGCACCGCAGACAAGCCCGAGGCCTTGGCACGGAAGGAGCGTGTCTGATGGTCAGATTAGCAGAGTCAATCGCTAACCAGCGATTAGCTGGCCTCGTACGACGTGGTGGGTAGGAAGAGCGGTATCTAGCTCTCAACAACCGCAAGAGATACGGTCAGAAAGACGGGTAGCCACCATTTAGCATCACAGTTGCAATAGACAGTTGCAGTAGACAATCCATAGTCTCACTCTTCCTGAGTACTGAGCTTCAAATCTCTCCTGAGATGAACGTTTCAAGACCTTGCCCGTCAATTTATTAAAAATCTGCTCGGCCCATGTTAGAAAGATCTTGCATATTAAAGATAGCGAGATCTTACATCGTCAGCGGCCTCAAATCCACCCCTTAGACACTTGTACCAGCTCAGATTGTTCTTCACCCATGCATCCAACGCTATAATGGTCTCTTCAGCTCCTTTGCACTTTCGCTTGTCGCTGAGCACAACACAAGCCCGCGAAATCTTCTTGTCCGACGTCCTGCCGCCGGACACCCCGCCAACGCGTGCATCGGCAATGGGCCCATCCGGCTGGCATGCGGGATATTCTCTGTCTCGCTTGGCTAGGTGTGCTCCGCCGACCTTCACCGCATCTCGACAAAGCTACAACAACGCACGAAGTCAGCATGGTAACAGCGTCCCTTGCGTCAGTGAGACGTACTGCAAGAACCCGCCCTTGTCGATACGCATCTGGTTTCCCGTCCTTGGCTAGCCGAAGAACGTCTTCCGCGCTGCCTTCTCGTTCCCGTAGTAGTCCTGCGTCAAGATAAGCGTCTTGATTCACAGCTCCCCAAGCTCGTCGATGTCCACCTCCGAGCCGTCCTCGCGCACCGTGCGAGCTTTGCCATTGGAGCATTTAATATCGCAGGTCAAGTACATTACCTTCAGGCCGAACAGACAGTTGACGGGCCTGCGGACTACACCGAAAGTCTGGGTACACGTCAGCTTAGCAATTCTTTGACCGGGCCGATGCAGTCTAGGGCTAACCAGCTTCGACATGCAGGACGTTATGTAGTGCAGTCAGCGACGATGTTCGTGAGTAGAAACTTGTGGGCATGCCTTCTGTCATTGTTCTGCTACTGAAGTGTGACAGGAAGCTGCCCCGTAGTATTGTGAGAAGGTGTGCCCCGCCGCATACTGCGCTGACCACAGAGCTAAGGTCAGTTTTGGCAAAATTGAGATGATTAAACAGGTGGTCCGCGGCAGATCGAACTAGCACAAGGTCATTGATGCAGTACCTTCACTGGAACGAGATAATGAACGAATGATTCGAGCGGAGGACGAACGTATGTCTTACGTGGGGATCGCTTCCATGGCTGCATTGGCATGCTATTTCTCCATGACGATCCAGGTCATAGGATCGATGTTGATGATGCACAATGCGACGAGTTTCAGTGGGTAGGCGTGGCACGTCGCCTGGAAACACAGGGCAACGGGACGTTCCTTGGGCGGAGCCAGCCAGGGAAAGAGTCATCTGACGCTCAATAAGCAAGGCATCCAGGCGCACCTGGAGGAGCTTTGCCTCCTATTTCCTCCATATAGTTTGCGAGGGCACCATTTCCTGGACTTTCTCATGTAAAATCATGACAGCTAGGCGGGGATTTTCAGCGCAATTCGGCGGAGACGATTATATCAGCTCACCCATTGAAAAACCACTAGCCCTGCCCAATAACACGGGGTATACCAGCACAATCTTCATGGTGGGACGGTCAGGCTCTGGAGAAATAGAGCCCTTTCGGATGCAATTGACAAGACCTTGTGCACTCATGCGTCTGTTACCACTGGTACCTTCCAGGATGTAAATATGCGTCCCAGGCAGGCTAACTTCCTTCGCTGCGGCGAGTGCAGTCGGAAGCAGAGCAGAATGCACGAACGGATGACTAGGCTTCATCGTCCAAGGGCTGCGTGGGAGCTCGTACGCCGTGGTATACGCCGACATGTTAACAAAGTCGTTATGGTGAAGAGCGCGTGTACGAGCGTGGCATAATTCTGCGGTTACATTTAGCACAATGCGCGGTGCGCCCGCTGAACCTGAAAGTCCACGCACCACGCATTTATGGCTGAATATGCCGACGGTGTCACCCGCCTCGCCGCCTCGCCGCAGAACGCCGCGGGCTGGCTGTGCATCGAGTGCCGTCGCTGCGTCGCGCACGAACTTGCGTTACTTGTGCAACGAGTGCTTGAGTCCAGTGGCATTGTCAATGAAGACAGTCTAGTCCGGGATCTGTGCGCCCTGCGGGGCCGTAAAGAACAAGTCGAAGACGTTCGTGTCCGGGATGGGCGGTGGACTGTCAGACATCATGTTGTGTTTGAGTTTGAGCCATACAAGAGCCGACGCTTGCAACTCGGCTCGAAGACGTGAGCCGGGACCTGGAATGCAACAGCGTGCACATTGGCCAGGAATAAAGGAGCTGGATATCTGAGCGCCAGTTTTGCAGAGATGAGTTTACGTAACTGGATTGCACTGACTAGCTCTGTGCCGCCTGCGCAAACAAGCTGATGGATGCGCTTGTAGCGGGCATGTCGCGGCAGTCTCTGCTAAACTCTCCGGCGCCTGAAGCACAAGCGCGTAAATGTGCGTTTGCTAAATCCTTTCTTACTTTTGCCAGAAAAGATAATACACAAATGATGATGAACGAGCACATACGGCATGCCGCGCCCTTAGTAGCAGGTACCCACTCATTTTCGCATAGTGATGTGCGGGCCCGGCTTGGGCTCAAAGCCCGGGCTTGGGCTTGTGGCGACGTCGAGCCGAGCCCTGAGCCCGAGCCGAGCCCGAGCCCGGCCCAAGCCTTGGGCTTAAGCCCGGGCTTGCTCACAATACAACGAGTGTTCCGGTGCTATCAAAAGGGAATGTATTTGGGTGTAGTAGATTAATACTGCATGTACTCACTAAATTATAACCTCCAGAAGATCTACATCTGCGGAACAAGTCGAGTCGCAGCGAAGTCCACGAGCGTGCGCCTACGGCAGGCACCAGATGGTGACGCACAATCGTGCTCGGCGGGAGCCGTTACATCTAGAATATCTACATTTTGTCTTCTATGTGCATATTAGGTCGCTCTCTCCTCATTCTGAACTCAGGGAACGGTAACGGAGCCAGCACACCCAAGCCTGGGCTTCCGGGCCGGGCTTGGGCTTGACTACGCTCCGAGCCCGGCCTTGAGCCCGCTGCCAGGCTTGACTCGGGCCAGGCTTTTTGGGCCGGGCTTGGCGGGCTTGGAGGCTTTGAGGCCCGGCCCGCACATCACTAAATTTCGCAGTCTGCGCTGAGCCCGCGGCAGTCCGGGGGCGCGTCGTCGTGGTCGGTGGCGGCGACGAAGTTCTCTTCTGCGCATTTCGCCATTGGCTGCCATGGTGCCTCCGATGCTTTCCCAGCGACATCTATTGCGAACTGTCGTGCAGCGGCGGCGGCGCAGGCGCGGGCACGCATACGAGTCAGCGCCTTGACATATCTGCTTACGTAATCGATTCATACTTTCTCAACTTACCTCCTGCAAGATGAACATTACTCCAAGTACCTACTACGTTGAGGTCGGGTCCAGACGCATCAGTGATGGGGACTCGACAGGGATCAATGATACCAATGATCTGCGGCAACTCTCTTTCGCTGACCACTGCTCGTGCTCATTCCATCGCCCCTCACGCCACCACGTCTTCTCTGTTTGCAGCTGATATCGATGCCGACATCGCCAAAACGATTCGGGATACGACGAGGGATGAACCGGGCGAGAGATCCAGCACACTCGGTACGCAGGTTATACGTCCTGTCTCGCCAATACCGTCGCTGATCTCTAGACCTTACAGAAGTCGCCCGGTGAGACCCTCTCTGGCTGGGCAGGGATCGAGGACCACCTCATGACCAATGACATCGGAGAGATGGAAGACTATGTTGACGATATTGATACTCTGCTCGTATTTGTGAGTGGTGCCGTTGCTGCGCGCATTGTGGGCTAACCTACCTTGCTTGACCGGACAGGCCGGTCTGTTCTCGGCCATCCTCACCGCATTCCTTGTCGAGACATATCCCATGCTCCAAGCCGACAGCGCAGATACGACCAATCAACTCCTCGCCATCAGCCTGGCTACCCAGCTGCGCACTACTGGGACTGTCGTCACCGACACACTCAACCAGACCCTAACCACGTTCTCTGACACTCTCACTACTCCATTCTCCCCTTCCACTGCATCTCGCTGGATCAACATCCTCTTCTTTCTCAGTCTCATCTTCGGCCTCGCAGCCGCGCTATTCAGTATCCTGGCCAAGCAGTGGATTCGCGAGTACCTCAAGTGGAACTCCCCGCTTGCGCTCCCACGCGAGAACATCCTCGTCCGTCAGCTGCGCATTGAGGCGTGGGAGGACTGGCAAGTCTCCTCGGTCCTCTCATCGATCCCAATCCTCCTCGAGCTTGCCATGGTCCTGTTCCTCGCCGGCGTCGTCATTCTCCTATGGACCCTTGACGACATTGTCGCTCGTGTTGTCACTGTCTTCGTCTCGCTCTTCGTTGGGGCTTTTGCTGCTTTCACGGTGATGCCGATAGTGTCGAAGCGCTGCCCGTATAAGTCACCGACGGCATGGGCATGTCTCGTGGCGGCGCATATTGTCTCATCCCCTTTCCTCTATCTCTTCCACGGTATCACGTCATCAAATTTGACGGATCCTGTCCCCATTCGATGGATTATCTATCAATACCGTGACCGGCCCCTCGTGTGGCGTGTTTGGCACATTCTCGTTTACGCCTGTCGCTTCATCAATGACGCCTGGGGTGGACGATGGCCTACCATATTGCGTACATGGCGAAGCCGGGATCTCGAGATCCACAGAAGCACGGCAGTTAGGAGACCGGACCTCGTCTCTGCCGCGGAACGCGTGCTCGCGCGCAATAATGCCCCTCTCGACGAGAGTGGAGCGCCGCAAAATGTGTTCGTGTTCAGAACAAAGGTCCCTCCTAAGGTCGTGCGTGGGCTTCTGGAGCATATCGCTGAAATGTCTCATCTCTTGCGAGCTCTTGCCTGGGTCAAACAATCGTCGCAGAGCAGTGAAGTCACCGATTACATTGAAGAATGTACACAGATCATTCATTCTGATACACTTCCTCATACTACCGTATTTGATGAGTGGCACAACAGCATTCGAGTGGTGACGAACTGGTGTATTTTTCTATCCATTCAGAAGGGTACACTGAACGCACCAGAGCTGGTGCTGCTTTCCGAATGCTGGCAATCGGCCCATGTCGAAGATAGACGTCAAATCGCCCCTACATCCCGGAAGTCGTCGAACATCCGCGCTTGCATAGCAGATGCAGCCCATCTCTACATCCCATGCACGTCCGAGCCAATCGAGTTTTTAAAATGGCTGACGGATGTTTCTCCTGAGACCACAGTGCTACCCTCCGTTTTCGCGCTAGTTCTTAGGGCTGAGTGCGAGTACTTCTCGCATCTCGCCGCCCAAGCACCATCGGATCAGGAACTATGCCGAGCCAGGACGTGGGCACTGGAAGCTTTTGGCCTACGCTGGAAGCTCCCTGTGCAATTGGATGATGCCGAGACATGGAGAAGCTTCTTGGCGGTAACGGGAAGTCATGACGGTGCGAAGAAGCCCGTGTTGCGGGCAGTTTCGTGGGACATCCTGTCGCTGATTCTACGCAATGGCCGCCGAGTGCAGTGGAACATGGAGCACAAAGGGTTCAGTGAGCTTAACTTTTTCCGTATATCAGATACTCTAGGATATTGATGAACTGTTGCCAGCATTCGACTCGGAGGGCGAGACCGGGCCTGCCGATTATGCAAACATTCTGTGTCATCTTCCCATTGACTCCGATGACAGCGCGATGGGAGACCACCTCAATATATTTGCCCATGTCTCAGCCAGGTGGCTTCGGAACGCTTCGCTTTCTGAGATGCCAGCTGCTGAGGTCACCGTCGTACTCCGGAGGATGATTAGCGCTGCCAATTTCATCTCAACACCTGGCCGACGGAGCATCCCCTGGCTCTACACCGGGAAGAAAGGCGACGAGAACTGGATAGAGGCAGTGCGAAGTCAAGTTCAAGATCCATCCCCTTACGACAACCTTTTTCTACGACTTCTCCATGCATTTGAAAGATCCTACCGTAGGCGCGTTCTCACCGGTAATGATGGATCGATCAGGCGATATCTGCACAGGGCACTTTGCAGTCTGCATGCGCGAGCACCCTGCCAGCTGGCAGGGTGCTCATGGACACAGCATTCGTGTGGAGGCGACGGAGGTAACGCCTTTTTCCTCCTTAGCTGTCCTTTGCTGGATAAACAAGCGGATACTCTCCGTGAACCCAGCTCTGGTGACCACTTAGTTCCCGAGACATTTGCTACATCCGACATCCCTGTCACAGACACGCTCCATGCGTCGCCATCCCACTTCGACCGTCAACTTGAACCCACTTGCCCAGAAGTCGCGCACTGGTCCGCCGAACTGTCCGTGCCGGCTGACTCAATAAACCGAACGGAAGATATTACGCAAGAGTTAGAGGACCTATCTGAATGGAACAAGCCGGCCTCTATCGCCGGTCATCCTCCTCGGCCCAGTACTCTGCAGGCATCTTCTTCGTCGTCCGCAGCAGCTGGACTCTCGGCGGGCGAGTACAAGAGGGCAGCTTCCGGCAGGAGCAGCCCCGGCTGGCGCGCATATGATGAACACGGCGTATACGAAGAAGATGTGGCAGATCACGTTACGTCGAGCTCTGCCCGCTACCACGGATCCCGTCCATTTGTTGTACCTCCTTCCAACGCTCCATCCGAATCAACGTTATCCACGAAGGCCCAATCCAGGTTATCTGGCCCCAGGCTGGACGCTGAGCCCATGGCGCATCGAGAGTCATCTGACGATAATATCGGCGCAGAGTATACCTCTCCTTCCGAAGCTCAAGCTCAGGCGGAGGACCGCAGCTCTCAGCGTCTGCCAGTGGCTATCCTGTCTTTAGCAGAGGAAGTGGCTGATGGGCGAGGTGTGGAGAGTTTTCTGCCAGTGGCTACAGGCGAGACTGACAACGATGGCGGAGCAGTGAAGGACAAAGGAAAGGGCCCTGGCCCTTGCCTAAACGATCCAGTCGTGCATGAGGTCGTCAACAGCGACCCACCGAATCCTGCCGGGATGCGTCCGTCGCGGAGCTCGTCCCCTTCCTCGCATCGCGACAATTTATTCGCTTCAACCGCCGGCCTATTGCGTCAAGATATCGTCCAACCTAGCGCAAGCGCAGACAGAAATAACGACGAGGTGCCAGGAGTGCTGCAGAATTCGCCCTCTGACGACCTCGTCATCGCTCGCAGCGACCGTTCCGTCGCCGACGACCGACCCGCAGAAATTCGACGATCGAGCAGCTCTTCCCTCCCGGGAGCTGCAGTATTGTTCCACGACGACCAGGGAAGCGGCGGTCAGGCAGCAGAGGAATTCGAGCTGGCCTTACGGCAGGGAGCGATGAGCGAGGGCGTTGGAGAGCAAGACGGGCCCGAGGCTTGAACGAGTCAGCGTTTTATATACATACCGGAGTATGTGGCAGCTAGTTACCCTGACTTGAATTCATCGTCGAGGTTCAAATTGCTTAAAGTCGCGTATGGATTGATGTACAGGATGCCGAGAGACACATGCATGGTGCGAGTGTTTCTATAAGTGGTGAACTAACATATGCACGTTCTCTGGAATTAGATAAATAACGAGACAACGAGAGCCAGATGGCCGCTTCGGCGACTGTGATATGGTAGAATATGCAAGATCTAACGCGAGATATTATGTTAGACTACACTCTCAATGCGGCACGTGGAATCGATTACATTCTTGTTGCTGCAGAAGGTCTATGCGAGATACTCATGCAGCTATATGTTGACTGTATGCGTAGAAAATAAGTACAAATATAGTCGTTGCGATGTGAATGATCGAGTCACAAAGTAGTAGGTAGTAGGTAATAGGACAGTAAGTAAATGGGATGACGGAGTGATGGAGTCTCAGGCGAACCATGCAAGGAACATTATCTTGCGTGACATTAAGCGAAGCTTGCATGGAGTCGTGTCGAGCGGTAAAGAGCCACGCCGCGGGTGATTTCAAGACCGCTTTTCGGCGTTCGACACCGCGAACCGGCTGCGCGCGCGGAGCGCAGGGCCCTTCCAGAACAGCAGCTACCAAACGCCAAAAAAAGAGAGAACTTGCGCATCAGCCCAAGAGACACGCGCGAAGCAATAGGAATGCACGCACGAAGGGCACGGGGCTCATGACGAGCGCGAGGATCCCAAAGATCGTGTTCGCCCAGTGGTACGTCAGCGCGGCGTACATCTGCGTCGTGAAGAGCGGGAAGGCCATCGCGAACACGTTCCGCGAGAGGCTCTGCCCCGCGAGCGCGCTCGACGCGAACGTGCCGTAGCTGTCGCCCCCCCCCCCCCCCGAAGGCCTGGTCTCAGCCCCCACTGAAAAATTGCGCGAAACGGGAGAGAGGGGGGCGCACCAGTCCGCGAGGTAGGTGAAGACGGCGAGGTAGATCGTGAAGGACCCGCATTCGACGAGCTGCGCACGGGATAGGTGAGAGGAGCGACAGCGGGGGCGAGAGCATAGGGGGAACGCACGACGATGCCGATGCAGAGCGAGATCCAGTGCACGTCCGCGAAGCTGCACCACGCGTAGATGAACAGCCCGGCGGCGAAGACGATGCCCGCGGGCATCGCCATGTACAGCCGCGCCTCTGGTCCGCGCACGGGCTGGTTCTTCCTGCGACAGACTCAGCGGCCGCGTTGCGACGCGGGTAAAAAAAAAATGAGGACTCACTGGTAGAGCTTCTCCTGGTAGTACTGGGCGACGCAGCCGAGCATGCAGCCGATGCTGCAGAAAGGCTCAATGAAAGAAGGACAGAGGAGGGGGCGCCGCTCACAAGAATGTCACAAAGACCACGCCGACCTCGCCGTTGTTGAAGTGGTGGATGTTCTTGAAGATGGGCCCGATAGACCTGGGGACGGGCGATCAGCTTACATAGACGGCAGAAAAAGAAGAAGAAAATAGAACTTGTCCAAACGCACTCAATCAAGACGTACAACATCCCCCACGCAAACCCGACCCACATCTACCCACCTCCGCGTCAGCAAAAACAGCGAAGAACAGTCACACAAAAAAAAACGACCTCGCGGCAGAGGAAAAAGACGACGCACGCTGAAGCTCGCGACGACCGGCTCGGTGAGCAGCAGGTACACGGGCCGGGTGCACGAGACCCAGACGAGGCTCCGGAGGCTCGCGCGCTCGTCCTCGACGCGCGCGCGGTAGCGGTGGTCGCCCGTGCGCGCGCGCATCCGCTTCGCGACGCGCGTCAGCACGACCGCCGCGCGCGTCTCCGTCATCAGGAGCGGGATCGCCGCCGCGAACACCGCCGCCACGCTGTCCGCTGTCAGTTCGGGGTTTTCGCGAAGGTGGAGGGGAGAGGGGCGCACATGAAGTGGATCCACTGGATCCAGCGCCACCCGAGGTGACGGTTCATCTCGATCCACCCTGCCGCGACGGGCCCGAGCCCTGTGGAGCCGATGGCGGCGACCGAGAAGATGGTCATCGGCAGCCCGCGCTCGTGCGGCGCGAAGATGTCTGCGATGCTCCCGCCGACCTGGCTCGCCCGTCGTGTCAGCCGGTTGTTGCGTGCGCACGGCCGTCTGCAGGAAGCCGCTCACCATGGTAGAACCTGTCGAGCCGAACGCGCCGGAGAAGAACCGCGCGATCTGCACGGTGTGAATATTTTTCGCCCTGCGCGCGGATCCATCAGCATGTTGAAGAAAACAGGGACGGCAGGGACAAAGGCTCACAGGGCGGCCATGATGTGCATGAGCGCGAAGCCGACGGCGGAGACGACGTAGAGCGGCTTGCGCCCGAACTCCTCGCTGAAGGACGCCGTGACGAGCGGCGTGACGGCGAAGCCGAGGGTGTACATCGACAGGCCGATCGTCGCCTGGAACGGCGTGCAGTTGAGGTCCGCGACCATCCCCGGGAAGCCCAGGTTGTACGTCGAGCCGTTGGCAGCTGCGGGGAAGGCAAAGGCAAAGGCCGTGAGTAAGCGCGTCGACGGTTCCGCGGGGAAAGGAAAAGGGAAAGTTACATGCGAGGGCCGTGAAAAAGATGGCGCAGCCGGCGATCGTCCATTTGCGCCGCGTCGTGAAATTCTTCGGGTCCCGCGGGTCGTCCTGTTCGAACTCGACCTGCACCACGCCGTGAGGAACGTGTCTGGCGGGGATACAAGCGACGTACGTAGAGCGTTCCCTCGTTCTTCTTCTCTTCGTTTCCCTGCTCGACGTCGGCGACGGCGGTGTGGTCGCGGTGGTGCACATAGTCGGAGAGCTGCCTGAGGTAGGGCGTGTCGAGCTCGTTCTCGTTGGCGCGCTCCGCTGGGGAGATGCGCGGGTCTATTCTTTCAGACACGGCATCTGCGCTGACGACACGCACGTGCTCGGTGTCTGTCTCTGTCAGGGTGACTTCTCCGGATGGCTGCCTCGAGAGCATTGTGAACGAACTGGTAGATGTCTGAGATGACTCGGAGGAAAGAATTGAGGCGAAGAGCAAGCCGATGATGGCAAAAGATGGAGAGCTTGGGAGTGCAGCGACACCGATCGTGGTCTTCATGATAAAGAGCTGTGAGAGAAGTGATGGCGGGCAACACATTGCTTTGCCATCTCCAGTGAGCCAATGAGATGCTCACGCCTCCTCGGCCGAATGACTGGCGCGCATATAAAGCTTCCTAGACGATTGCTAATCCAGGACTGCCAACGTTGCTCAGTGGGGTGCCAAGCAGCGCCAGGCGTGGGCCAGTGCGCCTGGTGTGCTTCGCCTCTGCGTTCTACAAGCGAGGCGCAGCTGATTGTGCGCCACAACCGGCCTAGCGTGGCGGGCGCGTCGAGAAGCACACCACGGACAATCCAGCCGCAACATGCCGAGCGCACCTCTGTCAGGTTGCCGGCGTGTTTGCCGCCGAGGTTGGTGGCCATGGTGCCTGGCCATCGCACGAAACGGGCCATGTTGCGGTGCTGCTTACCCATACGCGCCGGATATCGACGGGAGCACGAGCTGTGTTCGAAGCCAGCTTATGCAATCGATTCGCAGCTGAATTACCCATCACTCGACGACATGAGCTCATGGCCGCCGCGCAGGCATGGGAGCGAGGGCTGTGGCGGACGCAAGTGCTGTTTGTCGTTATTGTCCAAAAGCTTTGGTTCCTAACATGACCAAACACATCTGGGCGCTGAAGCTTCCCCGGACCATCCGCGTTCGCAGGCACGCGTCGTACGATCCCCCGGCCCCGTTACACATCGCTGGACAAAGCATGCGCCATCGAAGCCCCAAAGCTGTGATCTTTGTCAGGTCATGCAAGAAACTCTCCAGTCCGTGACGCCTGAGCTACCGCAAAAGCGGCCTAACCTCGCGCGACGCGCCTCATAGTCTCGCCCGAAGCCTCCGACGACGCCGTGCGCAACGATCTGCGCGCGACACTGCCGCCCGCCTGCTGACGTCTCACCTCCGCCGCCGCCTCCGCGGGCAAGCACGCGCGCTTCTACAGCGCGATTCTGCGACACGGCGTTGGGCGCTATCGACGAAACGCGGCCGAGAGGCCCTCGTCGATCCGCAGATCGCCGCCTTCTCTCTTGACTCCGTCCGTCAGGACGCTGCTTCGCGCGCTCAGCCTGTGCGCCTTAGAGCTCTCTCCGCCCTGTCCCGGGCAGAAGACATAGGGGATGAGATTGCTCGCAGTGCCTCCTTGCCCCACTGCTTTGAGTTTTTGGGGCAAAATGTACTTCAGGCGATGGGACTTGTGCAGCAGGATTTACTCATTTTGCTTGTGAACCGCAGATCGGAAGCGTTGGAATTTCACGTTTCAGCTGCACGCACGTTTGCGCTGCACACATGGCCTTTTTGCATCCGTTGTCTCCACACCGTTTACGTTCGCGTGTAGCCACTCCCACGCGTTTTCACCTCTCGCGGGGCGTGCAATACACCCATTCTTGTCGTTGTATCCTCTAGCGGCCCCGGCTCCCCGATTATTTCAACAGAAATAATCGGCCTTCAGGCTGCGCATGCGCCGCAAGGGCACGTCCAGGGAGAGACCGGCAAAGTCGTGGGCCAGCGATAACATCCGAAATAGCCTTGCGAATACTCGCTGTGAGGAGGTGAGGACGATATATGCGCGCGCAAATAATCAATCGGGCTGACCAGGCAAGCTATTTAGCAGAACGCGCCCACCCAGTGCAAAGGTGAATGACGCACTCGCCTGTTCCTGCTCACCCTGCTTTCGAACTTGGCCACGAACCAATCCAGAGGACGAACAGAACGATATAGATGCTGCAAGGTAGCGAGTCTGGAGGCGTCGGCCCTCGAGCTGAAGGAGTAAGACGCCGAGCCCTATATTAGTCTCGACTAGTTACCAGCTGTGTTAGCGTAGACCTCACGGCCGGAATATATTCGGGCAGGAAGCGAGGGTAGAAGACGCGAAGTAGAGACGAACTAGTTGTTGCAACACAGGTGCATTCGCAACTCAGAATCAAAGAGACGTACAGCGTTAGCACTACGACAGTCGCTTCATGAACCGCACGATCAGCTCGTCGTGCTCCTCCGCCTTCTCCCACGCCACGCAATGCCCGATGCCCTCCATCCACACGAACTCGTAGTCCTTCTTCCCGGAGAAGAGCTCGTCGAACGTCGCCTTGAGCTTGTGCACGTCGACGTGCATGTCCTCGGTGCCCTGCAGGACGAGCAGCGGCACATCGCGCATGCGCTCGAGGAAGTGCGTCGTGTCGCGCTCGCGCGTCACCGCCTCGTACACCACGCGCGTCGGCGGCGGCGCGAACATGATCTCGCCGAGCCACCGCATGCGCTGCTCGTACGTCATGTCCGTGCGCGGGTGCCCGAAACAGCCGTCCAGGAACTCGACCGTCGCGCGCGCGACGACCGTGGCGTCGGAGCTGCCGAGCAGCGGGGGGAGCGTCGTCTGCAGCCAGGTGGACATGAACGTGTTGTGGAGGGGGCGCGTCAGGGCAGGACCGCCGCTGTAGACCGCGCCGCGGATGTACCCAGGCGGAAGATGGTTCAGGATGTCGAGGATGACGATGGCTGCAGAGGGCTTCAGCTGTCTTGCGACGCAGAGGAAGAGATAAAGTGGTCACGCACCGCCGAGGCTCCAGCCCAACGCGACCGGCCGCACCACCCCAAACGCTTCGCACACCGCTCTGAAGTCCTCTGCAACCCGCTCGCCCGCGTATGCCGCTGCGTCCTCTGGCTTGTCGCTGCGCCCGTTCCCTCGGAGGTCGTAGGCGATGACGAAGACATGGCGCAGCAGTTGGGGGTTTGCAAGCTGTTTGTGGAACGTGAAGGACGTCCCTGTGAAGCCGTGCATACAGACGAGCGCAGGGTTGGAAGGATCGCCTGCGGCCTCGGCGTAGATGCGTGTGCCGTCTGCGGAGACGGCTTCCTTGTTGATGGTCACCATAGCGGGAGACGATATGGGGGAAGACAAAGTAGAATGGCACGTTTATATGTTGCAGCCTGCGGCCAAAGCCGCGTCGCAGGTATCCTGCCTCCTAATGGTGATGCCTTCTGACACAGGGTCACATTATTGGCGCCATCGACGGCGCCCTCCTGAGTACAGTGAGCCAGAGCGACGAAGATACAGCCAAGAGACGCACCTCAGGAGTCACTGAGCCTCGTCTTCGTCAATCTGTCGGTCATGTACGCCAAAACACTGAGTGGGTCGAACGCAGCAGGAGCGAGTTCGGGAATGAGAGCAAAAGCCAGAACAAATACGCGCCAAGCGGGCGGGACGGTCTGGGTTAGGGTTTTATCGGCGCCAACGCGGCACGCGACGTGTTTGTGTTTGAGAGTAGACTACGATAATATAAGCACGCCGCCGCTATATGGTCGTCACTTCCAGGTAACGGCTCTTTTGGATGGTCCCGGCTGCGGAGTATCCCTAGAGCTAGAGCGAACTCACCCAGTGGTAGACAGCAGCAGATCACCTGGTGGATAAAACACAGCAGGAGTGGACTTTTTTCTTTACTTGAGAATCAAGAGGTAGTATATTGAGGAATCAAAGGAAAGCATGCTTGAGTGAACCGTGAACGTGGTTATGCATCTAAAAGTTGAAGCGCTCTAAGACCGGCGAGCGCTTTGGCTTAGTACTGGGGTTTCGTTGATATCAGCACTTGCTCGTGTCCATCTGGCAGAGCTATTCACCCCTCGATATTTCTGTAAGTTCCTGGAAACAAACTTGCAGATGCCCAGAACTACTCTAGTAGCTCGAAGAAAAACTGAAGGTCCGCCAAACACGCCACCACTGGCAGACTGGCCGCAGCTTCACGCCAAAAAAGAACAGCTTGCATCCTGGGAGCATCTCAAGGAGTTTTACGAAAAGCTCTCGACAGAACCTGGAAGGAGCACAGTTTTGGTAACGTGGCCGCGCCTGCTTACACATCAACTACTCACTGTCTGGCCCTGGTCAGTGGTCCGCACCGCCGGGCTTCTATCTCTCAGGCTCCTGGACAGATTATCTACTCCCAGAACGATGGGACGTTGATATTGCCTGGTGTATGTTGCTTTCACATAGCTCTTTGGCAGATTTGCTCATGATAACATAGCAATCATTACCCGAGGTCTCATACTGCCAGGTATGATGAAGTGCTCAGACTACACCGCAATAGTCAACTCACTGTCCAACTAGACAAAGAAGAGATTACAAATTTTCATCTGATCACGACGGTGCGTGTCTTTCTGACAAATCGATGACTATTTTAAACGATTGATGTAGAACACATAGCTGGCGTACTTGATCAAAGCCCACCGCCTCAGCTGAAAAGTGAGTTCGCGGATATGCAAGAGGAGGTTGCCAGGCTTCGTGCGGATAACGAGAAACTTCGTCTGCAGGTCGCAGCGGAGAGGCACGGGCGAAGATTTGCACACAAAAAGGTGGACGATGCCCTTCATGTGCTAGCTGCTGACAAGACTAAGCTACAAGAAGTTATCTCCAACATGCATTACGAGTTGGAGGAGCTCCAACGCAAGATGTCAGTGCTTCATAGCGATATCTTCGCATATCACATGGCTGACGCCGGCGCTAGGGCCCAGTGCGAGCAGGAGCTCTTTAACGACAAGGCCCAGGCACAGTCGGCTGTCGAGCAGGCAAACCGGGAGTCGGACGACATGCGAAAGGAAATGGAAACCATTCAGCGGAAGCTGGATGAGAGGGACACGAAGGCTTGGGTGAACGTCTTTGAGGTGACCGCCGTGAGGGACGAAGGGGCTCGACGCGAGGTGGCACTGCGCACAGAGGTCGCAAGTTTGCAGGATACAACATCCACGCTGCGGTCAGAGGTGGCTTCGCTCAACAAGACGGTCGAGGCGATGCACATGGAGACAGAGGAGCTGCTGGAGCAGGAGGCGAGGCGGTTCACGGAGATTGCGGAGCTACACGATGAGAACGCGAAACTGCAAGGCGACAATGCAAAAGTGCGCGTTGACTACGCCGGCCTGTGCAACACGATGGCCGACGTTGTCTCAAAGAACGCAAGTCTCCAATCGGAGATCTTCTCTATGCGCTACAAATCCGCGGACTCGCAAATGGCAGCACAACCGGCTACGTCGAAGTCATCATTGACTGGCGGATCTTCTGCCGCGACCAACAAACCGACGAGGGGTCCGGTCGCGACTTGTATCAAGGTCGAGCAGTAGTAGAGTGTAGTTTTCTCGTTGATGTAGCCACAGAAGGGATGATTAGCGTATGAGTTAGGGCGTAATATTCATTGCATTAGTTGAACTATTTTGCAGCGAGTTTATATTGGTACCTAGCTAAGAGAAGCTCGCACTCTACAACAATAGCCCTAACATAGATCACCAACCCTCGAGCTCCCGCGGCAGATCGTCCCTCTCTTTCCTAGGTTGCTCCAACACGAATCTCTTCACTACTAGTAGTGTCGTCATCTCGACTTTGCTCGTCACGAGCGCGATTTGCTTCGCTTGCAGGACGTCTTCGGCCACATGCACGTCCTTCTGGAGTGCACGGAAACGGTCGAATATCTCTCTACATGCGCGCACGAGGGCCACAACTGAAGCTCCACGCTCGCCTGCGCCGCTGCTGGTGCCGGGGAGCATGGTCCTGCATCTCGCGCGCAATCCTTGGCATCTCCGCGAACACCTGCAACGCCTAATATACAGCTCATAGGTGGGCTGATGCGAGCGAGCGCGTCACATGTTCTACACCTGCTGTATAATCCTTCTACGAGACGCAGGTTGGTGGCGCACCACTTGGTCACGGTGTTGACCTGCCCGATGTACATGTGCGGAAGCCTCGCGGCGGCCGAGTACGTCGAGTCGACGTACCTCTTTTTTTTTTTTTTGTTCCTGTATTTAAAGTGCTACCAACATAGGGTAATGTACACCTGTCTACTATAGTAGCGTCCGTATGGCGCGTAACTACTAGCGTCTGTAGAGGCGCGGGAGTCCATGGCTCCAATAAATAGTAGACAATACGAAAAAGGAAAATGTCCTAGTGCTCACTGCGTGACGGTGAGCGCGGCCATACCTCAATATATTGCACGGTGTACCGAGTCGGGGCGGTCTCCTCCCGATCAGATTCAGACGACAGCGAATGAAGACTAGGTGCGGGGGATTCCGCAGGGTCGGATGCAATTAGGTCATCTACCTGGATGAGTTTCACTGATTCCCTACTATCATCGCTCTGCCGCGCGACCTCTATCTTGAGAGGGACACGGGCCGTGACAAGGACTGACCGCAGCCAGTCTGGTACAACCTCCCGGAACAGCCGTTGGTCATTGGGGTGATGCTGACGGTATTTCGTCCATATATGTCTAATGGGCCACCGTGATTTGGCATTCAGCCATTGAAGGAACGGTGCTGGAGATTTGTTTCTGCACATGGCGTGCTTGTATTCAGTGTAAAGTGTAGGATGCTGTAGCACCAGTGCATCAAACACAATGTTGATGATATGAGACTCCCAGTCAGGATTATCATTGTCGCATAGTGGGAACACATCCGATTGCATGTGTTCCATCAGATCCTGCCACTCGAATGTCCCGACAAGAGGGTTAAGTAGCAGGAAGTTGTGTATTTCATCAATTGTGACTACTTGTTCTTTGTTCTGCAGTTCAAGCTGTTTTTCTGCGGAGATGAGCTCTAGGCGGGTTTGGTCAGGTGCACGTTTGGGTGGCCTGATTTTGTCAGTTCTTATCCAATATGGGCATTCATACAGAATGTGGTCTCGTGTCTTGTAGGTATTTGTGCACAGGCATGTTCGCCCACCTTCAAGATTCATTTTATTCCGGAATTCTCCATGGGGGAAGTGTCCAGTCATGAAGCGGGTCATGCGTGCATATAAGTGATGGTCATTTCCAAATTTCTTGAGGAAGTAGTGGTTACGGTCGGGAACAATAAGCTTGTGTTCTGACTATTTCAGGAGGTTAGAATGCCCACGGTATTTGATGTCATTCATTATTGTTTGCCAGCTCTTTTTGGCCTTGGCTTTGGTTTCTGCATGCGCGGCAGCATATGAAGATCCTCATTTAGGCTGTCATGCCCTATCACGAGCAGCTTCTCCAGCCAATTTGTCTACAACCTTGTTAAACCGTGTGGCCCAGCTGTCCATCTCAGTTTTTCCTTGAACATGTGAAGGAACCCACACAATGCGTACTTTTTGTTGCTTGTGTGCACTGAGAAACTTCTTCAGGGCAGTGGATGCCCTGATAGAGTGCATCTGGCCATCCCTACAATCTCCTTTGAGAAGGAATAGTCCAGCTGCAATGCTATCCACAAATACATTGAGTACAAAGTAGTAGTCATTCTGTTCAAGTGCTCTATGACCATCGTATGATCGTGACCATGTCTCATATTCCTCTACCAGTCCTTTGATTCCATAGGACAAGGCAGTTAGCTCTGCATCAGATACAGTAGCCTTGCTACAGCCTCGCATGCCTTGTTTAACTGGTGGTGATGGCTGATGGCAGTTCCAGATTGCCCAGCCAGATCCAGTGGCCTCATGAAGAGTTCCCTGCTCTGCTTGTGCTTCCAGTTGAGCACGCACCTCTGGGATTAAACGTGCATCCTTAGGATTATCCTTGTGTGCAGAGCCATCTGTGGCCAACGACAAAGATAGTGGGTCAGTGACCCAATTATTTACACTTGGGCAATACTCATCATTGAACCATTTAGCAAACTCTTTGCTATAAGGGTTCTTTTTTGGGACAGCTTTACGGTCTCGTGTGTGTATCCAATAGAGTTCAATTGCACCCCATTCTTGTGGTACGTCAATAAGACGTCAGCCAGGTTCAACTATATCATGGATTGCATTGAAGTGTTCATTGACAGTCATATATGTTTTGTCCACCCATGTTAAGAGTGTGACACGGTTTATATGCTTGTGAGGAGGCCTATAAGGTACCAACTCTACTGGTCCGTCCATTGCTGCACCATTCCAGAGTCAATGTACCTCGACGCTGCTCGTTTACAGTCTTGCTCTTGGCCTATACGGCGCGTCGTTCGTGTTGAGCGTGAGCACGAGCCCCTGCAGAAGCAAAAGCGCTAGCTCGCGGTTGCTTGGCGCAAGGCCGATCTTACTCCCAGACCACACGCCGAGCGAATCGACACAGGTCCAGAAAGTGCCCGTGCGCAGCTTTTTATGGTTATCAGATTCACGTGAGGTCTCCTTCATTTTATCCTGAAGGCAGTGCCTTCCAACATCGAGACTTGATAGAGGGTCATATTGGCGCACCGGCCTTCAGACTGCTAAAGCCAACTGGTGCAGTAAGCACAGAGTGAGCTGAAGTACCGTAGACATGGACAATAAGCACAGCTTAGAGTGCCTAGTCAGGAACCGCTGGGCCTTGTTTCTGTCAACCTGCTCGTAAAAAAGGCGAACACAGCAGGAGCAAGTTAGTGTTGCTGCGGATTCTGATTCTATCCGGATAGAATCCAATCTGGTCTGATGGGTCGCCAATCCGTTCAATCCAGATGGGCACGGATTCAAGCTGGATAACTCATTGCAACCCACTCGGAGAATGCTGACTCAGGCGCCATCCATCAATTCCAGGTCGACGCAGTCATGCAAGACTGCACGAGAATGCATCGCGTCCATGGTAAGTGTTTCTTGTGTTTTGATTCATTGCCTGTAGCTGTGTTTGCCCCCTTTCACCTCCGTTATTTCCTGAGGTTGTTGCTAGAGTAACATGACAGATCAATATATTTATTTGAAAAAATCACACAAGACCTGATTACTGTACGAGCTACTGCCCAGGGACCAGGGCAGCCGGTATGTTTCTTTCAACTTGAAACAACAAGCGACTCAAGCTACACTTCACAGGTCAATAATCTGGCTCCCGAGTGTGAAGTATACAGTGCACTCTGCGCGTTTTTCTCTCTCTGGTGCTCAGCTATAATACATCAGGTGCAGCTGTGTCAAACAAGCCCACCGGTTCTCATTCTCAGCCTCAAACCCATGCTATGAGCCAGGCCCAGCAACGAGAAGACCCCATTAGTCGTCCCCACCTGCCTGTGACTCCCTACTGGCACCACTCAGCCTATCCGCACCTACTTCAACCTGCCGGTCCACATCTTCACAGTCAGCCCTCTCTTTTTGTTTTAGCTGCACTGACACCTCAGAACCCCGGGCTGGCTGTCTCAGTGTCAGCCCAGTCACCTCCGCAGCCAGTACAAGCACCGAAGTGGAAACACGGACGCAGTGAGGGTGCAGCACCGCCATCAAATCAATGCATCAATCGGCCAGCTGCACAAATATCTGAGCATTGCACAGAAAAGCAAAGCATATGCTGTCGCAATAGGTGAGCGCCATATTTTTCTTAATGGAAAATTTGTTGTACCAAGCCTTTTTTTTTCAGTTGTACACCCTGGTTTCAAATTTACCTGGATAGACAAGCACTAGACAGCCAAGGAGGCTGCGGATGCACAGCACTGGCTTCAAGAAGCGGTGCATAGATCTCCTCGTTGTACATATACGCTAAACTTACTCCTGGGTGTATTACTTATAAATGCTTGAATCTCAGCGACAGCTTTGTTCTTCACAGTTCAATCTTCCCCCCAGTGGCCCGTCTCCACCATCATCCCAGAGTTTCACAGCTCGCTCACAGGCTCATGGTGTAGGCTGCATCCGCGCATTGCTCCGAGAACTCTCTGATGAGTCTGTAAGCACCTCAGCTACAGCTCAAAGGAGCAGTGTACAGTCCGAGGCAGCCACCATCGAGCCAGATGTGAATGATAGTCACATTTTGGAGACAGATTATGCCCACGCCATTGAGGAAGAGGCAACTCGGTATGAGAAGGGGGGTGCTCTCCCTGACACTGAAACAGGGCTGGGCTTTGATATCTGTCACACCTGGCGGGTATGTCACTGCAGTGCATTATCTTACTGTCGCTCACTACGTTACAGGTCAATCAATATCGCTTTCCTCTGATCTATCACGTCACACTGGATATTCTGCCCGTGCAAGCTTCTGCTGTCCCGTGCGAGCGTGTCTTCTCATTGAGAAAGGAGATGGATACTCTCCGAAGGATTAATTTGTCCCCTGAAGTGATGGGGGGGCTTCAAATTCTGAAGCATTTGTATCTGCGGCAGCGCGGTGAGAGGCGGCAGGCTGGCTTCTGAGGGTGATCTGGCACCGGCAGTCTCAGTAGAACAAAAATTGATAGAATGGTTGCAGAAGGCCATGTGAACGAACTAGAGAAGCTATTAATGAGACTGAATCCTAATAAT